GGCACTCTGTGTCATTATTAAAACACTATGTGCAATAAGACAATACATAAAGACAGGGCATGTGGTCACAAAGGACATGGAGAAGACTGAGGCACTCAATGTCTTCTTTGCCACAGTCTTTATTTGTAAGACTGGCCTTCAGGAATCCCAGGTCCCTGAAACCAGTGGAGGAGTCTGGAGACAGGAAAACTTACCCTTTCAGGAGGGTAAGATCAGGTTAAACAAACTGGACACGGACACGTCTGTGGGACCTGATGGGCTGCAGCCAGGAGTGTGAGGGAGCTTGCCAATGCCATTGCAAGTCCATTCTTGATAATCTTCAAAATGTCTTGGAGCTCAGAGCAGGTTCCTGAGGACTGTAAGAAAGTTACCATCACTCCTATCAGGAAGGGCAGGAAGGAGGATTCAGTGAACTACAGGCTGGTCAGCCTCACTTTGAACTCTGGGAAGGTGATGGAGCAAATAATCCCAGAAATCATTTCCAAACATATGAAGGACAAGAAGGTGATTGGGAGTAGGCAGCATGGATTTGTGAAAAGGAAATCATGCTTTATTGTAACATAATCTAACACCTTTCAACATAAAATGCTGCTGAAAACTGTAAAATTTTGGGTCCTCATTTCTACTTTGTTTCCTACTTACTTCCATTATATTGGTTCAGAACTGGATTTTAGTTCTAGATTTAATTTGAGCATTCATCACTGAGCAGAAGTTCTCAGGCATGCTTTTCAACATGCTTTTCAACAGCTCACCCAAAGAAATTATATTCCTTCTGTGCTCTTTTCATTTAAAAATCTGGGTTTGAGGTCAGTTGAGGAATACTGAATACTGACATTGTTTCAAAAAGGTTCTGAAACATGTCTTGTGAAGTCATCGAACCAACCACTTGTGTCCTTATGGCCTGTTAGTAACATTTTCTGTTAAATATGCTTATGTTTTCTATCCATGCTAAGGAATTAAACCTGGGAGAAGCTCTCTGATCTCCCTGTATGGTCTTAGTGGGGATGCCACCATACTTGCAGTAGAGTTGCATGTGGTTATGCACCTGGTGTGTTGTGACGTTTGCCATTTGGACTATCATCTGAATTGCTTTGTTTGAATCATGTTCTTTCCCCGTTGTCTTTTGTCATTATGGTGTATGAAGGAATTACGTGTATTTTTTTTTTAGCATTTTGTGTGCATTTCAGCTGATCTGTCTGAAATTATCCTGTCTGGATATGTACTGTTACACAAATACAACCTGAAAGAAGGAAACAAAGAAATGAGGCAGTGTGAAAGATAACAGCAATTACAGAGGAGTTGAGTTATGACCCCACCATTGTTGTGTGGAAATTAGCTGTCAGCATCTTCACAACAATGACAGCTTCCTCTCAAAGTGAAAAGCCTTAAACCAGTAGGACAGGTTGCCTCCAGATTAGTAAAAAGGTGGAGTTGAGCAATTTGTGGGGGGACTGCCTTCACACCATCCCACAGAGAAGCAAGGAAGGAGAGGCCACTTTTTGCAGCAAACAGCATGGAGTCAGGGATGCCAAAACATATCTGCCAGCGGGCTTAAGGGGAATGCAGTGTAAGATGCTGCTGCTGGTTTACATCTGTTTCTCTAGGAGATTTTAAAAATGTTGGGAAATAATGCAAAGCATTTCAGCCTGTTTAGATCTGCAAGGTTAACAGTGTGAGCAGCTTTTGGTCCAGAGACTAGCTTGAGGAATGATTGAGTTGCAGGTCCTTCATCAAAAGAAGGTGACAAAGCAGATGCTTTGGTAGGGAAGTGGACACTGAAGGCACAAATGAAGAAGGGTTATGGAAGAGGTAGCCGGAGGCAGCGTGACAGCTAGAGTGCAAGCCCTTTGGGATAGGGTGTGTGTTTTTATGTATGAATTCAGTAGCGAGCGTGTTGGGAGTGCAGTCTCTCAGCTGCCTGCCGAATGTGAATTTAGTAGAATTTGCTAGGGCTCGCCATTCCCCCATTAGCATCAGCCGGTAAAACGCGCGTACTTCTGTCACAGGACAGAATCATAAAACGAGGTTGTACAGCCTCCCGATTTAGATGAGAACAGTGTGTGCTCAAATTGGGCGCTACTATGAGACAAATCTTTCCTAATAATAGGGAGCTCATTTCTGCACTGTTTTTCTTCTATTGAGTCCTAAGGTCCTAAGTAGGTGGCTTTACTTTCAATGTTATTCCAATATGCCAGTTTTTGCAATGAGAAGCTTGAATAATGCTCAGTTATTAGCAGTAAGACTGCTAATTTCCAGTTTTTATTAGTAAACTAATGCCTGAAAAAAGAAAAAAAAAGGAGAAAAAGAAGTGCCTTTTTCCAACTATACGCACAATATTTTCTTTTGGGTATTGTGTGTGTTGCTACCATTAATGCGCTTATCTGTTAAGCTTTTTGCTTTCATAAGATTTACAATTTGTATGTAATAAAACACTGGTTTATGACATATTTTTAGATTTTCTTAGGAGAATATTTGACTCATTTTACAACAAAGCAGTAGTAAAGGGGAAGGGGGAGGAGCAAGATGGTTTTGTTAGAAAATATACAAGTTAAAAAAAGCTGGCCAGCTATATGCTTGACTGGTTACTGAAATGCTGGAAGAAATGTTACTAAGTGTGGAATTACATCATCTTTCCTCTAAATGCAGAAAAAGCCCAAGGAAATATCATTTGTCATAAGACCTACACTCCATAATCTGAAATGCCACTTTACTGCTAAGAGCAAAAGGATAAAAAAACAAACAAACAAAAAGCCCACAAAAAACCCCAAGAGCCTAAAGAAAGTAGTGGTGAACAATTCAAATTAAATCAGCTTTTACTGAAGTAAAAAAGGGAGAGGAGGAAAAAATCCTTCAGTTTATTTAATAATTACATTTCAAAGAGGAAAAAACCAACAGTGCATAGACAGAGAAGATTGTGCACATTAATGTTCCTTTTATATCTTGTTCCTTATTTCTACAGAAAGTTATGATTATTTATAAAATCTGACACTGGAATCATAAAAATGTAGTCAGTGCCTGCCTTTGCCTGCAGATCTGAATCCCTTTCCTCATCCAAGACTGCAAAAAAGAGCTTAGCACAGGGGACTCCCACAACACGTAGAAAGGGAGAGGGGAGAGTAGCCTCCTCTCCCTCCAAAACCTAGGATCATGTAATGGTGTCCATTTGCATCACTGCAGTGGTGACAGACCCATGGTGATGTGTGCTTACCCCTTGCTTTCTGAATGATGTGTTTTGCTGAGGGCTCGCAACAGCCAGAGTCCATGAGCCGGAAGCTGGACCTCAGACAACTCCTTGAGGTAGCAAAAACAAAGCCCGTGCTTGGCTGCGCCAAAGCAGGATTGATGGACTTTGAGCTAAGACTGAGGCTGTCCTGCTTTCCATGGTGCAAACACTGTGTATTGGGCTTTCTGCAGGCATGGAGAGAGAAAGAAATTCAACTTTCACAAGACTGGAGTAGACTAGAGGGAGGCAGCCACAGAAGCCATGGTTGTGTTTGTCTTGGAGGAACAGACAGGATCTTTCTTGCTGCCTTGTTTTCAGCAGTTATATTCATTTCTGTGAGGACAAACAGAGATATTTTGTGAATCAGAGCTGAACACATAGCTTTAGAGTAAAAAAACAGATCAAGCCCTCTATGGTTTCGTAACCACCACTGAAAAAACCCAAACCAATCAAATTCTACCTAGGCAGAGGTTTAGTTGGTATTTCCACTGGGCAGTTAATGTGAATTGCTCCTGCTACGAACCATCTGCAGGGTTTTCAGGAAGATAAGGTCAAGCGTGTTCAAACCAGACAGTACAGAGTTGAAAGTGGCCAGTGGTGCTCACTGGAGCTTCATGTATTTCAGAATAATGAAATGGTACTCACAGAATTACTCTGAGTCTTTTTACTTTTTTAAAGAGAAAACAGGTGTATTTTTTAAGGCAAAATAAGTGAGCTTCAGTGTCAACGAGGCCGAGGTTGGAACAAGAGCAGAACATAGCATCTTTCTTGCCATCCATGATATTGGCACTTTAGAATATGCCTCTGGTGGACCTTACAGTTGGATGTGACTCATAAATCCATAATAGGTCAGGACTTGCTAGCGGAGGGGCTGTTTTTCTCCACGTGTGGACCTCACAGTTGATTGTGACTCATAAATCCGTAACAGTTCAGGACACGCTAGCTGAGGGGCTGGTTTTCTCCATGTGTTGTGCTCTCCCCTTTGCACACACTAGAGGAGTTTCCAACCACGACACCCTTGTGTTGTAAGGAAGGAAATTGCTGGCAGGCTGGTCAGAAGTGTGCTGTAGCCCACTCAGATTCCTAATATTTCAGTGTCTTTTAATTTAAAACCGTAAGGAATCTTTAGACTTCAGAATTCACTTTCCAGCTCTTGGCCTGAAATAGTTAATTCCTTCAACTACAGCTCATGTTACAAAGCTGATTTGCAGGCATTTGATGTTGCTTTGAGAATGTGCTTTGAGCATGGAGAGACTTCTGTTTTTGTAAGAATTTTTGAGGTGTCACTGTTTTATTGTTTCTTTTTTATGGCAGAGCAGCTAAGAGATGAGGATAAGTATCTTTTATAGTGTTCAACCTGAAATATATAAATAATGAAACAGAGGTCTAGTGTCAGTACTGAGCATTAAAAGAAAAAAGAATCCGTGGAAGGTACAGTACATTCCCCCCTACCCCTAAAGTTCTTTACTGATCTCCTAAAACAGGATAGAGAAAAACTGTAATTGGCCAGTCAAAATATATGGAGTCAGATTGCTAATGAAGCACGTCTGGGACTAAATCCCGGTCCTGCTGACGTCACTGGAAACGAAGGATGCAGCTGAAGAGCTGGGTACCTTTGAGGACTGGGCCTCTCTTTCCAGAGAACTGGACCGATGTATTTGAGATTCGCCTGCAGAGGAAGTCGTAGCAGGACAAAACGAGGATGGCACCGTTCAGAAGGGCTGTCTTGGATGGAAATTGCAGTGGCTCTGATCGTGTCTTCCCTTCGTTCTGACAGGTGTGTCTGCTCAGCTGACCAGCACTCGTCTCCGTCGGAACACTTCGGTGGGCACCCCGTTCTGGATGGCTCCAGAGGTTAGATTCATGTTTCAAAACATTTTGCCAGTGGTATTCAAGCTACCTCATTCTTTATTTCTTCTCTTTCTTTGTCTTTTTTCCTGACCACTGGACCTTTCACCAAATGAAATAGCAATGTCCTTTAAAAAAAGTGGTTTAAACTTTTTTTCTTACATGTTTGCAAGGTTTAAGTTAAAATAGGGCTTATTTTTGAAATTACAAGAGTAGAGCCAGAGAGCAGGATGTTGAATTGCTTACTAATTAAAGAGGAGAGAATACTACCATTGATCCTTTCCAGCTCTGAACCCATAGGTATCTCATCTCCCTGTAGATGGAACGAGCCCAGGGTGGTACTGTGATACATTATAGCTTTTATTTTTTGATTTCTACACCTGGAAAGTTTTTAATATTATATGTCCATAGCTGACAGCAAGAAATGGAAGCGGTTATTATGAATAAATAAGGTATTCTATGTGCCTTTGGAGATTTTTCTGGTCTGAAATTGAAGCATATAAAGATACATTTTAAGCTGAGGCAGGAAAAAGATTTCATTCTAAATAAGCTTACATACAGTATTTGTGCATGCACAAACACATGTATAAACATCTATTTATATGCACACAAAACTACTCTGTTTATACACATCTATTTTTATAAACGTACTCTGCTTATACACATCGGTCTAGCTGTGTAGCTAACGGGATACGCATTGGTTTAGACCTGTAGCTAATGGGATGAAAAAATTATAGATTCATCTGGCATTACGGATGAGCTGAAATGTATATGAACTGAAATATACTTGCCGTAATCAAGTGGCAAACACACTGTTGAGAAATTAGCTTCATCTTTGAATTGGCTGATTTGGCTGAATAAGGACCCAGCAGGGGACGGTGGATTCAACTTCTGCTTCCCTGCTTGTTTCACTTCAGAGACAGAGCAGTATAGCTCCATTAGTTACTTTGCAGTAATAATCCATAGAAAAGAGATTTAGGGTTGCTGAGTTTCCTTCTACTTCCCTTAGCCATGGGATACAGTTTTCCATCTTCAGCTGAAAAAGCCAAGGATTGGCACCCTTTTGTCAGATCAGGGAACATCTGGTCAGAGAACCTGCTTTCTCCAGTTTAAGCATTGCTTTTTTTCCAGTAAGAGGGTGCTTTAACTTGCTAAATATGTGCAAGTCTGTTTTATTTCACCCAGTATCTCCATCCTGTAAGAGATTCCCCCAGCTGTGGGTGTACTTTTAAATTCGGACATTTGACTATCCAATGACCATCCCAGTCTTTTACTCCAACAGGTGATTGCCTGTGAGCAGCAGCTAGATAGCTCCTATGATGCCAGATGTGATGCATGGTCACTGGGTATTACTGCAATAGAGTTGGGAGATGGAGATCCACCCCTTGCTGATTTGCACCCTATGAGGGCACTCTTCAAAATACCGAGGTAATATCTTGATGTGTTAATTTCTTGTCGGGTTAGACTGAACTTTTTCCTTAACTGCTACTTTCTTCAAACTCAGACCGTATAAGTATGTGGAGTTTCTTCTATTGTTTATACCAGGAAGAGGTTGGAAATACTTTGTCCAGCTGTATTTTCTGCAGGCTCTGCTTCAACCATGTGCACTCTTTGAGAAGTTCAGAGCTGAGTGTGGCTACATTTGAGAAGAAGCCAAAAGGCCTTCTCCTGAATGGACTACTGCCCGATATACATGAGCGCAGGACTTAGCTAAGTCTGTTAGAGAATGACTTATGATAGAAATACAGAGTCTGAGTATGCCACTGTGGTGAACAGGCCCCATACCTGCCCTCAAGAGTTATCTCATGTCCTTTGAAGCAAAGTATTGTTCCACCACTCAGATACATTTAGGCTGCCACCTTTCATTAGCTTGTGCTGGTCCTGGCAGTTGCAGTGCTGCTGTCCTCGGGCAGTGCAAATAGCAGCTTCTTTCCTGTCTTCTTTGAAGCTGGAGATGAAAGTACCAAAAGTGCTACTTACAGCATTTCAAAACATCAATCTCAAAGTCTGTAGGGGATGATCATACAGTAGTTTGTGGATTTCACTCTCACAGTTGGACCAGTGCCACAAACAGTTGAGGCCGCGTAGTATATACATCAGTGCCTCAAGTCCTTTTCAGCCGAGTCACCCGAATTAGTTTAAACTACTTTTAGGTTTAAGAAATCTTGGCTGACTTGGCACTGAAGCAGACCATGAATGCTCTTCTCACCTTCATGTGTGATGAGAAAAGCAGTTACAAACTGCTCTGGTCAGTCATTTCAGCTAGGCCTTCAAAAAACCCATCTGGCTTATATCCTTAAAAATATTGGCCACCTTTCTGGCCACCTTTCTGCCCTGGAGCAAATACAAGATCAACACACTTTCATTCCATTAAGTAAAACCTGAAAGTGATAGAGTAAACATTAAACAGCACTTAAAGAAAAGCAGTTATGACACTGGATTGAAAAGAGACAGAAAAATCACCTTGTCTATAGGTCATTCCTTTCGTCTTCATGACTATACTCATTGAAAATGGCACCTCTGTTTGAATGGAAGTAGAGTGTTAAAACACTTTGAACCAAATTAACACCTGCAATAAACAGCTCTAACTCAACAGAAAAGAAAGTAATAGTATTTATTTACAATAGATCTGTATTTAGTCCTTCACTTGACTTCTGATTATCTTCTGATGAATGAGAAATAGTTAAGAGCTAGCTCCTTCTGACACTTTGTTCAGCAAGTTGATTAATTAAGTCCTTCTGGGAAAACTTAAAATAGAATTTCTTTTAAAAAATTATCTTAAGAAAGTATATTGTTTTGGGCTTGAAAAGAGAAACTTGCCATTAAAAGTGAATAGTGATTAATAGGTTGTTAGTTTCATTTCCGTTTATTGATTTGATTGAAAAAATTACAGTGATTCTTAGCTACACTTGGTAGCTCATCTCCATGCTATTTCTCCTTGTTAGTTACGTAAAGTGGGAGAACCAGTGAGGCATTGTATCATCTGCCCATGCTCCTTTTACCAGTGGAAATCAATATCTTTTTGCAGTGGCCTTCTAAAACTCATTACTCAGCCTGCCTTCACACATTGGTTTTGTCAACTGAGTAGCTTATTAACTTATCATCACACTGACCTTTGCAGGAATCCTCCTCCAACGCTACAGCAGCCTGAACTGTGGTCACCTGAATTCAATGACTTCATTAACAAGTGAGTAACAACTGAGACCACTGTAGCTGAATATGGAACATGTGTAAATGTCATGTGTAAAATATCTTTGTATTCTTTGTGGAAAACTGTTGCTATTAATACTTTTCCTTAAAAACCTACTTTGTTTAACTTCCAAGTGAGGCTCCAGATTTAAAAAATAAGATAACAACATTTTAACACAATTGATGTTTCTGTTTTTCTTAATTTAAAGAATGTTTAGTTTTAAAATGCAGTAGTTTAACTTCTTGGACTCATCAATTCTGTGAAATCTTAACAATTTTCAGTACAGAACAGTTGTGATTAAGATGAATATATTTATCATGGAGATATGAATGAACTACAGACAAGCATTTCAAAACTTAACAGCTATCCCTTAATGATCATATGCTTTTTCTGCCAGCACAGGTGCTTGACTAAAGATTATGAGAAGCGTCCGACAGTATCTAGTCTTTTGCAGCATGATTTTATTAAGCAAATTGAAGGAAAAGAAAACGTGCTACAAAGGCAACTCATGGAATTTATTGATGTTCATCAACAAATGGGAGTCACTGAAAAGGCAAGGTAAAAGTAGCTAAAAATTAGACCAGTTGGGACAATTTTGATACTTTCACTGTTTCAGAATGGCTAGCACTCAGAGAAAGATTCACCTCTTGTAATTTTAGCTGGCCAAAAACCAGAGAACTTAATCTTTGGGGTCCCCTATAGAGCCAATGGAAAGAGAGGGGTGTCATGATTCACATGTGGGATGAAACAGTCTTTAGAAGTGCCTCCCCTTTCTCCTGTGACTCAAGATGCAGATTAGGATCCCAGCTTTCAGAAAGTGAAGGTTAGGTGATGCTGTTTGGCATTTTCTTACTTTTGCATGGTCAGCCAATGTTTAGTTTAAGCAAGTATGCTAAAAATAGCTACTCAGATTCCTGCAGGAATTGGATGCTACTGACTGAAGTGATAGTGATAGTGGTACCAGACCTTGTTTTGCAAACTTCAAATCTTATGTCTTATTGAATAGATACCTTCTTTCTCTACTAGTATTTAGTAATATCAATTCTGAATAAATCACTTAACACCTGATGGCTTTTATTTAAAACAACTGAAAATGGCTTGGTTCAATTTTACAATTTAGAAAAAAACACCCAGTACACTGAAGTAATGTATCAGATGTTAAATGTAGTAGATGAGTATTGATGTACTGCTGGTGCAACTTCTCCTGTGCTTCAAGGTAAAGGATGACAATGTGTTTTTTTTAATGGAACATAAAATTTAAGACATTTGGTATTATCATCTGGAAATAATAGTAACTTATTATCTGAATCTGTGCCAAAAAAAATACTTATTTATCTAAGGATGACATTTAAATGGCATGGTTAAACTATTAGCTGGGTGTGTAGTGTCCATATATCAGTTTTGCAGTTTAAAATACTAACAAGTATGCTGATACTAGTTTAAATCTCATTTGCATTGATTTAACCAAATCTTCATATCTGAGATCAGTGAAGGTAGTATGAAAGACTGCAAGTAAAAATCACATTTTACAGTCACTGTACTTATAATCACTTCAGTTTTAACATGTTTATTGACTACATTTGCTGGAAGATTGTCTTTCATAGCAGTGAATACATAAAAAGGTTACCTTCCTGCTAGAAACAGTAAGAAAACCCATCTTAATATCTATTACTATATCTGTACAAGCAAGAAAAGCAGTCATTATTTTCCAATAGCTGAAATTGTAGTGAAGTATGTACATCATTTCACTTTAGAAGAAATTAGAATTCCACATCTGTAAAGCACATTACTACAGAATGGCATTTGTTTTTTCTTCTGTTGAATGATAAAAAGATTCTACAAAGATCTTTGAATTCAGTAGTCATACTTTTTTAAAAGTCTTTAAATACTAATCAGACGTATCTTCTGACCTTCAATCTGCACAGAGCAAATGGTGTCAACAGAAATCTGAACAGAAGTACCATGTAAATCTGATTCAGAGTCAAGACAGAGGCTGTCTAGTGACAAGTCACCTGGAAAAGTCTCATCTTAAAATCTCCTGGCTTTCTTTTCTTGACTTTCCTGTTCTGGGCCTGTTTGTACACTGGTGTGTTAGGGCCCGACTGTGGAATACCTGAACTTTCACCAGTTGCTGGCAACTTTCCTTGTAAAGCTCCCTCCCCATTGCCAGCTCACGCTTGCTCAGCCCTTAATTCGAAGGCATAGTTCTCCTGCTTGTTGGCACTGGGAGGCAGGTAGTTTAAGGGATTAAAGAACCCTTCCCTCCACCCAGGAAGAAATCCTCATACCTGTGTCACGTTAGGTAAATGGGCATGCCATATACACTCAAGAAATTTGCTAATGTCGACTTAAAGCTGAAGGTAGGGAATCCAGTTATTTTCTCAGTTTGTGCTTCCTCTCTTCAAATTACACTTTATTAATGAAAATTGTGTATTTCAAAAGAAAAAAATAAAATGCCTGGAAGTTAATAGCTGAGGTCCGTCCAGTTTTCCTGTGGGCACTATGCCTGTTTTCACTCCAGATCAAATCACCCTCTTTGCCCAGCATGCTGAGGTGTAATTTGGCTCTGACTGCCTTCTGCAGAGGGAGTCTGTTGTGGTTGTGATCCTTTCTTCTTGTTTGCTGAATGTGCAACTAGTATAGTTCAAAAAGAAGAGACCGCGTTAGGTTATGTCACATTCTATGAGGTTTTTGCAGAAGGCCAGATCCTCAGATCCAATCTTTATACACCATCCTGTTCAGGAGGGGTGTGTGATCTCTAGACATACAGCGGAGCCACCGTACAGTCACCATTAGCACCATTGTTCCTGACGTATTTTCTAACACTGACGAGTCACTGAGTCGTTAGGACATTGCACTGGGCTCTCCGAACCTTCCCATTATTGTTACTATTCTAGTGAAGAGGAACTTACTTTTAGGTCATTGTGCTGCATCGTTTCCAAACACCTAGTAAGAGGAACAGAACCCACTAACCTCCTGAGTAACCAGAGAAACCTTCTCAACTTACACTGATAAAACTTTTAAACAGCAATATGCCATAGATTTGTTCCACACTTATTGAAGGTGATGGAAGATTGTACTGTTTTTTCAGAAGCCTCTGAACAGAGTCTTATAGCACTAACATGTCCTGTGCTACTCCAGGCTCAAAAAGCACGAATACTGGCAATGAGCTTCATTACAAATTCCACTTTTTGACTTTGAGCAAATGCAATACATTTTTCTCTAAAGTCATTGCTTCTTTAGGCTAAAAAAACCCTGTTTGCAACTTCACCTTTCCTAGCTCAGATCTCAGGTTGAAGAAATTACGATGGAAAGAGCATGAGAAAATGTCCCTTGATAGATTAATATTTTCCCATAGCATCTTGACAGAAACATCTCTATAATCTGCTTTTTGGAATGATGAAGTAAGCTATGGGAGATAAGTTCATGCTATGGAGGAGGTGAAGCAGGCAAAGTTGCATACTAAGTGTATTTAATTTGTGGCTTTGTTATTTAGCATTTGGGTTTTCACTGAGCTGTGAATTCCTGGTGAGCGGAGTCACCTTCAGGACAAGGGTCTTGGGCTCCTGCAGGAGTTGCCTTTATCATGGCTGTGGCAAGAAAAGCCTGTTTCATTGTGCAGCTTCTTAAGGGGGTATTTGCCTCTTTTCAGAGTGGTTCATGACTTATAATCTTCTGATATTTCTTTTCCTTCAGTCTTTTCAAATTGATGAACCTTCAACTAAAAGAAAATAATCTTTTACATCCTAGTAGTATGATCTTGAGATTTTATACAAATAAACTTCATCCCATATCTGTTACTCTGGTCCTCAGGACCACCGAGCTCTTTAAATATAGTATTTCAATTCTTTTCTGTGTTGGTAGTGACACAAAAAAAGCATGACGATGGAATTTATTGCACTATCTTTAGTGAAAATAAGACAAATTCTCTAATGAAGAACCAATCTCATTTGAGCCTGATCATTCACGTTTGAACACTGCTTGTTTCCCTTTGTTTTTAGCCAATCCCTCAATCACATACTTACATTCTTGTAAGTCACATTATAGCTGTTAAAATTTATAATTAGTGATGAAAATAATTATTAGAAATGAGTGCTGCAGCATATACCCAAAAACTGTTCTAAAAATACACTTCTTGCTAGGCCAAATGAGGGAAAAAACCTGCATTGTAAAGAGTTTTACTTTGCAACAGAAATAGCTGTCTTTGAAACGGCCTTCAGAACTGTCGCATCTACACCTGACAGTCAGGCTTGTAAGACTTTTATCTTGAGTTGTTTGGCTGTCTTAATCTTGACTGCTTTTACAATAATCTCTGCAGAAATATGCAATGATTAGTACAATGTGTATTTCCTGGGAATTATGACTCATTCCAGAATGAGCTGCATATGCAAGGGATGTTCACTGCACCTAGATTTCAGCAACTGACTCTGGTCTCCAGGTTAAGACACTCATCTTTATATGCCCTCTAAATAAATATGGGAAAGAGATCCATTTTACTGCAGAGTGATTCAGAGGGTTTAGGCGAGCTGAATTACTCTCCTAAGAGTTTGTCCTTCTGTACTGGCCACGTAGGAATAGCACTGCAATCCAGTGACAGGGTGCTAAACGGTTGCTGTATTTAACTATTTGGAAAGTTCAGGGAGGCAAGTTCATGAAAGTTCATGTACAACATGCACAAAGGTGGTTGTCAATTTATTCACCCCTATTAAAAGCAGGGAGTACTGTATAGTTTCCTTCTATGATTTCCCCTGATTGCACAGACTTGTGTCACTTATTTTCTGGGTGGTCTCTCTCTCTCTCTCTGACTCATCCTGCCAGTTGAAAGCAGCTGATAGCAATCCTTCAAGCTCAGCTCTGCAGGGCAGGCTGTAGTGGAGAGTAGATCACCAGACTAGCTTGGCAAAGGCAGTCGGAGGACCAGAGTAAGATAGCTCACATGGAGTCCAGTGCTGCCATGGTGAAGGTCTCCAGATGAAATCTGTAGCAGAGTAGAGGCTTAAACCTGAGACTTTGGAGTGCCAGACTTACCATTGAGCACTTCAAGCCACTTCTTCCTCTCCTGTAACTCAGTGTGAGCTTTGTTGTACCAACAAGGAGTGTATATTCCTGCACAGAGGACACTCCTGCGTAGGATGGCTATGCTGCAGTCTGCTCTAACGTTGTAGAAGCAATAAGGAGTTTCTGGCAACATAGGCCTTGGAATAAGCAGACCTCCAGTCCCATACGCTTGTTGCTAATACACATCTTTACAGCAGAGTAAGAATGTGGTTCCAGTCTCCTATACAATACAATGGGCAACAGCAATGCCTGAATGGAGAATAGTTTACCTCCTGAAGCAAAACAGGAGAAAGAAGTTCCTCTGCATTCAGGACTCCCTGGGAGTAGTGCTCTGCCACTGCTACTTTACTGTCGTATCAGTCCACTTGCTTAGCAACTCATTTCTCCTGAAGGTGGGATACCTCACCAGGCATCGCTTACTTTTGGAGCTTCGCCTTCATATTCTCAGTATGGTTGTCACTGTAGAGCATGGGCCTGAAGGCAATAAAGAATCCCAAAGAGTCCTTTTAGAGGTCTCTTACTTGCTCAGTTAAGAACAGGTATTTTCCCCTGAAATTTGGCAGAGGATACAGCCATTTTGTGAGCCTATTATGAAAGATCAATAATCTGCAGGGCCCTGCAGGGCATGCAATTTTTTGCAGGGCAAGGTAAATCAGCACAGACTTTGGCAAACAGACTTTGCAGACCAGGACGTGACCCAACTGGCTGGACACGGGCCACCTCTGAATCAAAAGCCCTGTAGCTCTCCTGGGCAGCACTGTGCTCTCAGCAACATTGCATAAGGTTGAGCACCGCTCCCTGAGACTGCAGCCGGTGCTGTACAGTCATTTAAACATAGAGGGAGCACAGGTTTGTCTACAAAGCATTGTGCAGATGCAGGTGGAGTCTATCAATACACTTTTCTAAATTCAGGTACAGATTTTGCATAGATATAAGACGATAAGTTTTATTTAAGCATCTGTTGAAGACAAAATTTTGATTTTAAGTGTGAATGAATATTGCTCTGTGCAGCCTCCAGAGAAATGGAATCACCAGCAGTGACAGATCCTCCACAGGTTTCTCTGTGTCCCTTCTTTTCCATTTGTCATTTTCAATGCTATTTGTAACTGCTGGGAGGTTTACAGCTGTTCCCACCTTCACCTTACAGAAAACTGGATTATTTTTAGTTTCTTTTTTACACCCAGACTAAGGCCAGCCCTTTTCCTGTCACTTCTTAGTCTGTAGATGATTCTTCAACCAGTTTAGGCAGAGAGTTCAACAGGGCATCATGAGTCACACTTCCCTTTTCATGGTATTTTTGGAACTATCAGAAATCTTTTAAATACATTCTGACAATTTGAAGAAGAAAAAGCTGCAGTTGCCTTATTTTGACTTAACTGAATCTTGAAAGATAAGCAGGGGTGTGTGAAGGAGGATGCACAGAAACAATGCTGCCTTGACTCATTTTCTTGTCCATACTGGGTTGATGTTTCTGGCCTTTAGCTGCTTGAATTGCTTGTCAAGCATAGCTGTAAGATCTAATGCCTCCAACAAATAATTTCTGAACGGAACAGAGAAAAATGGTTATTTCAGTTCACAATGTCTGTGTGTGTGACGATAATGAAATTTCAGCATTGATGTCAACAGCACTGATGTGGGTTTTTTAAGTGGTTGGAGTTTTAGCAAGTGAAGCAGTATAACTGCCCTTGAGGGGTCCGTGCCCTTTGACAGCAAAGCAGAAAAATATTGTGTTCTGCAAATCTGCCGCTTTTGGAGCTTCCCCAAATCTGGTTTAACAAGCACTAGTGTTCTCATAATGTCAGCTGAAGAGGATTACAGGAGAATCAATTTTATGTAATTAAACTTCCCTGGCATAAATAGAGATTGTTTCCTTAAAAATAAATAAATAAATAGAAAAGTCTTCATGACTGGAGCATTCCCCTCCCTTCCTGCAAGGCACTTGTTAACTTCTTACATTAAATGAAAAATGGTAATTGAAACAAATCTTGGGAAATATCCCTCTCTCACTGATACGCAGTGACATTTAAAAAAAAAAAAAAAGGTGTATTCAATGTGTAACAGTTACACCAGAAAAGGAAAGTGTAACTTGACAGATGTCTTGTTTTGGGTTTTCCTTTGGCAATGGAAAAAATAGAACAGCAGAGCTTGACATATTTCTGCAGTTCCTACATCTTCCCCTCGTGTACGTGTTGATAGGTCTTTCTCAAAGTCATGCTGATGTGAGATGCATCCTCTGGACACAAAATGACCTTCATGCAGGAACAAAGGAGAAATTGTTTCAACTGTCCAAATTTAATTTTTCAACTGAAACTGATAAAAATGAGTATAAATAGGAGCGTGGGTTATCGTAGGGACAGGTTTCTTTCGAGGGGCTAGGATTTTGCCTGCACCTCTGGCTTTGAATGCAGTAATATCCTTTAGCTGGTAAATGCAAATCAAGCACCAGCAGACCATGCAAGGCTGAAGACTTCATTTAAATCTTAATACTACCACATCATTTTTAATACAACCTGGGGGTGCATACAACCAAATATTGTCTCACCATGTTATTGCAAGGACAGTACTACCAGGACAGCTCTCACAGTACAAATGAATTCCAAAGGAAAGGGAAGAAGAGATTGGGTCTACGAGAAGTGTGCTTACACCAGACCCACCCCTTTAGATGCTGCCTGCTCGTGTTCCTGTGTGTTTTCTGCTTCAACATATGTAAACACATACCAAATTACAGTCCAGTTATGGATTTATTGCAGCAAAATCTGCCTTTGTTCCCTCCACGCAGACACGCTCTCCTCCTGCATCTCTGTTTATTTGCATTGCTGATGTGCCCACACGTTGCATGTTCTGTGTTGTGTGGCAGTAATAAGGCGCTGGTACTGCACTCTGTAGTATTGCCATTGCTTTTCACCTCCGCATAATTCAGCCTCACCATCATCCTTACAACTGTATCTACAACAGTCTTTTTTTGGCCTGTAGTAAATACTGCAAGAAAGAAAACATTTGGAAGCGGGTTGCTTTCCCATGTAGCTTCAGGGTCCTAACAACAGTTGGAGAATAGTCTGTAAAATAGCTGGGTGTAAAACTGGCAAGACTTGGTCCTTCCCTTCCATCAGGGCAATGTCGATCCTGTTGATCTGAATTGTTCATTGAGCTTCCTGGTCACGTAGTCACCACACTGGGTATTGGGCTGCAATATTGGCACAGAGACCATGGAACTATGCTAGCTCTTGCAATGAATTCTTCCATGTTTGTGTCTAGATATTAAGGTCACAGAATTAGTCAGCTGTGGTGGGTGTGAAACTCCTGCCTTTGCCGTATTGACAATGGAAAGACTCCAGTGGCAGCTGGGACCTGCCTAAGGGGGGAAGAAACTGCTCCATTACTGGCACCTGGGTGAGGACAGGTCATTCTGTCACCCTCAGGGAACGATCAGTAGAGACAAGAGAAATTGAAAGCAAGTGCTAGATGAAGTGCACTTATGCCTGCACTTCCATCGTTCAGATCTTGATTGCGGTCACAGTTTGGGAGGGCAGCATTTGTCCGTTTCTTCCAGCCCCTTTTCAGTCCTGGCAATCAGCACCTAATGCCAGGCGGGTGTCTGCTTGACATTCTGCACCTGCATCCCACATCAGTGCACAGCCTGCGTGACCTGAAGTAGCACCCATGAAGTAGGTGATGATCGTGGAATGGGTACAGCCCATTAAACTCCTTATTAAATCTTACTGTGGGAGTTCAGAAGTCTCTTAGCTTGCCCCATCAGTGTGATGTTCATTCATTCTAACTTTCCATCCTGATGCAGCTGCCCTTTTTTTCCTGTCCTCCGTTCACTGTATATTAAAGTTCTTGCCTGGCTAGAAAACACCTGTCTGTTTTTACTCATGCCATATGTCCAAATATCAAAATTAAATACAGGATTTCCCTGGTCTTGTCTGGAATCAAGACAACAGAGTTTTTTCCTCTGTGTCAGTTTACCAAGGTATATGTTCCATGTATTTGAGAAGTGCCTATCAAGGGGAGTGAGGTCATATCAGGAGATCAGAATTACTTGGTAGTCTTCCTGTGCTTGTGCCGTATTGCACATCTGAGCTTGATTTAGTTTGTGAACTCTGCTGTTACTTACGCAGTTTCCATTTCCCTGTTTTTCCCCATCTCATAAAGCAAGTAAAACTAATGTGAACTATAAACCTTGCATTTTCTGTTGCTTTTGCTTTGTTTAGCAATGCCTTTACTCTTGGATAGAGAATGATCTAAGTCTCCAGGATTTTTCTTGCTAATTTCTATAAAACTGCATAAAGTTTTCTTTGGTTTGGTTAAAAGAGAAAAGAAATTTCACTTTAAGACAAACTTAATTGAAGTTTAATCCTGATAAGAAAAAGATTTCAAATTTTGTTTCCTTATTTTGTATGATTTTTTTCCCTGAAGAGTCCAAGAAAATTCTTCTTGGTCAGGATGTATTTCACATACCCCAGTGGTTCTGTAGCACTTTGCTCTACAGTGTGGCCACCTCAGTCAGGCTTTAGAACATTGTCATTGCTAAGCTAGAGATGTTTCCATCCTGAATGCTTTGTCTCCATCATCCTTGCCATACTATTTCATCATACACGTATACATAGGTTTTTGTCCTATCCCTAATTTTTATCTGGGTCATTTTTCTTTTTGCAGGTATGTGCCAGAGTTTGACTGTTTTATGCTTTATAAATATATTCTTTTTTTCCCTGTACGGCGTAGCTCCAGTCTTGCAGCTGATGTAGGGGTGTGATCAAGCAAGGATTTGTGCAGTGAAAAAGCTCCTCATGGTATCAGTTGTGGGATCAAGCTATAGAATTTGAATTGTCAAGTACAGGTGTGCTGCACTAAGAAGTTTTATCCTGTCCTGTTATTCAAACATTTGTGTGTTTGAATTGAGAAAAATGGAAAGCTGGAATGTTTTGGCTGAATTCCTTCAAGATGGTTACAGATACAAGATCTGCTCTGTGTTTCCTTACATCAGGAAACTGCATGTCTTTCTTTTCTAGATTTGAACGTATTCATACAAAGAAGGGGAACTACAGTAAGTCACTAGTTTCAAACCAGGAAGAGGTAGATGATTTAGCAACCTTGGAGGTACTGGATGAGGTAAGAACCTCCTTTTTCATGTTCTCCTGAAGAGGGTTAATCACATACTGAAACACAATGGTGTGCTGTTGATTTTCAAATTCAACTATATTGTCACATTTCAATTGTGTAAGTGTACAATGGCATTTTACCAGTTTATGCCAAATATTTTAGATGATATTTGCTGTATCAGGAATGGTTCCAGCTCAGAGCTAAAACACCCTCTGCAGTTACAGCCTTAGCCGAGCAGTTTTGTAGCACCATTTGCTTAACAGGATTTATATCACTAGATTTTATTACAGCTAAATGTCTGGTGTGCAATGATGACCTGAAATTGGTTCAGGTCCAAGAACAAGCACCTTCTCCACTGTTGCTTGGATATCTAGAGTTGGCTTAAAGTAGCTTACCATACTCTCCTAGACTGGGTTCTCACTGACTTACTTTGGTGTGGAGATGCATTGAGATCAATTTATGTCAGCTGAGGCTCTGGCCTGTTCTGGTGAACTTTTGACAAAATTACTGATACAATTCTTACTGGTTTGTCAAAGTTTGAAAATGGGTCCACTAGGAGCAGGGGAAGATGCATAAGGGAGTGGGGAAGTCTGTTGTGTTTGTGCTTTAAGCTTCAAAACCAGAAAGAAGAATCAGGCCACAGCACATTATCTGCAGGTCTTAGAGGCCATCAATGGTTGTAAACAAACTGTCATTCTTCTTCTTCTGCCCGGCTGTGCATAGACTATAATTCACATTCTCTTATCTGTAAAACTTCTCTGGTATATTGTATCTTCGTCAGTCCAGAATACTAAATGTGGCTTTTGAGCTTGTGAACTGCACAGTGCTAACATGCCACAGAACATCTTCCATCATCCAAGAGCTTGGTTATAGTAACTTAATGTTTAGTTGATACTAACTGAGCTAATCCTAACTTCATCTACTGCCCAAAATTCAGACTGAAGCATTTTTTTTAATATTGGGAATAGCCATATGCTAGCAAGACTCAGTTTTATCTTTTGCCATGAAGCATATAAACAATCTGAGCTAAAGAGAAGACACAAGAAAAGCAGACAATCAGAAGTATGTCCCATCTCCTCAGAGGTGGAGCATTCTCAAGAAAGTCCTCAGGAAGCCTCCACCTAAAGGCATCATTTGACTATGTGATATTTCACTAAATCCAATTCAGTTTAAAACTTCTTTCACATACAAATGGCAGCTTCTCAGAACTGTCTCCTTTCTTCCATTCAGATTTTTCTTCCAGTTTAGATAGTCCCATCAGAAGAGCAAAACAGGAGACCTTCTATCGCTGCAAGAAATAATTTCAAAAAGGGCAGAAATTCCCCTAAAAAATTCTTTTAATGTGAATCTGGTTATGGCCAAAAGCAAGATAGCTTTCAAAACCAAGAAGGGAAGAGTTTATCAAGGCAATGGAAAATCAAGGTTTTCTCCTTATATTTTCCTGTGAAGGAAATGTAACCTCTTCAGCTGTTGAGGATTCAGGTTTTAAGTGCATTAACCAGAACACAGTGCACAACACTGTGAACAGATGGATGTGGAGGGAAAGCAATTCCTTCTGTAGTCCTCTGCTGCTCATCATTCTGTTCCAGTGAGAATAGGGCCTAAATATTTTCACGTGTACCTCAGAATAGTCTCAAGGCTGGTTTGAATTTCTTCATCCAGCTGTATGTCCTGGTTTGATTGGAAACCTAACCAGGCACTTTACATACCCAGCTCTTTATGCAGAAGAAGCTGAGGAAAATTATGTCAAGAAATTGGGTATGCCACTACTGGGCCCTTCTTTTTTCTTGGTTCAGGGAGAACTGGCTCTGCAGCAGCAAAGTACAATCACAGCAGAGACTGGTTGTTCATATAGAAAGATGCCTGATTGTTGACATTAATAGGATCCAAACAGTTGAACATCTGTGTCTTATCGTAACTGAGAGTAATGTAAGAGCAGCTGTAATGGCAGTTATGAATTCAAAGCATATGGCTCTTGCTTAATGGGTTACATGAAGCTGTAATGTTAGAAATTAAGACAGAACTGTCTCATGGAAACCTTTGATTAATTGCATTATAGCAGTACTTATTAACTCATTTTTCTACAGCCATTTGGGGATCTGTAAGTATATGTTGTTCAAACTGAGTTTGGACACAGGAAATTATGAATGCTAGTGTGTTTGAAAGTATTACTCACTTTTGATCAAGATCAGTTGTATTCCTGACCATTAGTACCTTCCCTCTCTCTGCTCCTCACTCATGGTAACCATATAAATATTTTACACATTTTCCTAGTATTCTTTTTTCCCCCTGTGATTCAATGTTCCTATTCTCTCTCCATCAGAATACAGTAACAGAACAGTTGCAGAAGGGTTATGCCAAGGATCAAATCTACACATATGTTGGGGACATTCTCATCGCTGTCAATCCGTTTCGGAACATAGACATTTATTCTTCACAGGTGTGAAAACCTAGCTGTGGTCTTTTTCAACTAGCGCTGATTTCCATTGAAATATGAATATTCATGTTAAGTATAAAGTAAGACCATTCTTGAGATTTACTTCAGTTTACTCTGAAAAACAGAATTACTGATATAACTGTCCCTTCAAGTGCATGTTGACACACATCCTTATCTTGTACTGAATTTCAGCACAGAAATGAGAAACTCCAAAAAATTTAATCTCCGGTATCTTTATGTCTATAGTGTAGATCATGTCTAAAGTGCAGATAGCTATATCTGACCAAGTCACTCATTTTAATCAATGGATAAAAATAGGATTTTTGAGGTCATTGTTCTAGCAACTTTCAACATTCATTCAAGATGAGATAAATTGTGCTGAATTTTATGAAATTTGTTGACTAAAACCCCACCTAGTGTAAAGAAACTAGCTGCTCATGGCAGCTAGTTCAGAAGTTGTATCTGTACAGATAAATGCATTTATTCAGGTGAAGCTGGGGAAGCCATAGCTATTTAATTGATCAGACAGTTCACAAAGCAACCCAGTAAAATTTTAACTTTTATGAATTTTTCTCCCTGTTATAGAAAAGGGTACAGATATGAATGGTCATACAATAATTTGCCATTATTAATTATCAGTTACTGCAGGTACAGAAAAGATCTTAATTTTTTACATTGATATCCTGCAGAAATCATAAGAGGATGTGAAGTACAAATAGAATGAAATTATAATTTTGTCCTTTATGTCTGGCAACATTAAATTTTCTTCTAATAATTTGAGTTTCAGGGCTGACATCACACAAAATTGTCCTTCATCTTTTTTAACCGTTCTTATTGTACTAAGAACATACCGATTCACAGTGTAGTGAGTGCAGTAACAGCTCACTCAGAAAACATCACTGCTGGTAACCTCAGCATGCTGTACCCTAATCTGAAAATAAAACTAAGCTCTGATTGATAGTGCAAAAAAAAAGTTGTGAAGGGACACTGATAATGTTTTCATTTTTCTTACACTTAGCATTCTAAACTGTATATTGGAGCCAAACGGACTGCCAACCCTCCTCATATTTTTGCTGTTGCTGACATAGGTTATCAGTCCATGGTGACATACAACTCTGATCAGGTAAAGATGAAGTGTCTTAACTATATCCTTTGCTAGGCTGAGAGATACGTAATGAGCTCAGTCGTGCTCTTGTTCTCTGCAGTGTATCGTTATTTCTGGAGAAAGTGGAGCTGGCAAGACGCAAAGTGCCCATCTTCTGGTTCAGCATCTCACTGTCCTGGGCAAGGTACGTTTCAGAGGGGCTGTCTCTGCAAGGCTTCACTGACTTAGGCCTAATTGACCAAACCTATGGACAGGGCATTGGTAGGGGGGCAAGACTGTAAGACATTTTCCAAAGAACGTCTGTAAGGTCAGATTGGAACATGATGCTAATGAAGCTACCCTTTTCTCCCTCCTGAACTAGGGTCACTTGCAAATATTGTGGGGATTCCACAAGCAAGAAGCCACTGCAGGGAGGGCTGTGACTTAGTCTGTCCCTTGTTTACCTGAGTGTCTTTAAACCACCCAAACTGTACTAAATGAAATCCTCTTCTAGCTTTTCCCCTCCTTCCACAACCAGGTTGCTGTCAATGGGACATGGTCATTCTGGGAAGTGACCACCATAATTGTCTAAATACAATGCCATTTTTGCATGTCCCAGGTGAGATGCAAGCAAACTGATCTATTGGTATGGTGCAGCGCTAAGCGGATGCTAACAAGGATTCTGAAAGCAGGCCGACCATCTCAGACCACAGAAATTGATTACTTCTGGTGTTGTCATTATCATTATGTGTGTTATCTCTTCCAGCCAGCCATTAGTGCTACATATTGCTATATTCTGACAGCTTCTGTGATATATACATGCCTTTCTTTCCATATGATTCCTATGGGAATGGCTGCCCTGGTGATGTCACACTTCACGATACCAGCTAGAAAAGGAAAGAAACACTTCAGAATGAATGTATTTGAATGATTACTGATAATTTCAAGCAATATCTTTTTCATATCCAGGCTAATAACAGGACTCTACAGGAGAAGATCCTCCAGGTGAATAACCTCGTAGAAGCATTTGGGAATGCAGGCACTATCATCAATGATAACTCCAGCAGATTTGGAAAATATTTGGAAATGAAATTCACTTGTGGTGGCACTGTAGTAGGAGCTCAGATTTCAGAGTATCTCCTTGAAAAATCCAGAGTTGTCCACCAGGCAGTGTAAGTATAAAAATTATATTTGACCTGATTTGGGGGTTACAGAGTAGGCCTACAATGCGGGAAAATATCTTGGATCAAAACATGAAGATGAATAAGGTACTGGGACTTTTTTCTTGTAAATGATATATGAATAGTTTATAAATCTGTAAGCTAGCTGAAAACTACTCCTGTTTTAGTGGTGGTTTTTTTTTTCATTGCCTCCTGGGTTATTTAAACAAATCTCATAAAAATGCATATGTGATATATAAAGTGTATCAGAAAACTTTCTAATAGTTCAGTTGTAAATTTCTTTGTGGAAGTTTGAAGTATTGTTTTAAGTATATCACTTCAATTTAATTCCTCTACATTTCCTCTATTATTGTAGCTTTTTCTGTTTGTTTGCAAAGTGCTCATTTTCCATTTTGGAGCATATAGTAGGATTTGGTTATAAAAGGTTATGGACCAAATGCGGAACAGATCCATCTCTGTCATGTGTGTTTCTCATAATATAAAATGACAGAAAAATTAAATGACATTTCCAATTCATTTAAATTATTGGCATGTATTTTCTATCCTAATATACAGAACATCCAGATAAAAAATATTTTGGCAACTCCATTTCTGCCATAATAACAACATCAAAAACAGAGGTTGAGATAAGGCATGTTGTCTTAAATTTTTCCCTTTGCTGATCTCTTACTCATTTTTACTGTTTTTGTAGTTCTGCATCACCTTGTTGCCTGTTGTAGATTTTTGACATGAAGAACATCTAAGTATCACTTGGAGTGTTTCAACAAATACTTTAAAGTTAGAGGCAATTTTATTAAATGGTGGTTTTTTTCCCAGTTGAACATAAGTACAGAAACTGCTTTTACAGAATAAAATCGGCTTTTTCCTTAGAATACCACTTTTTTCATAACTTTTCATGAGTTTGTTCTGTGGCTGTCAGTTTGTATTTATATTTAGCCACATGCTGAGACAAACCATTTACCTGCCTCAGATGCTGTTTAGGTAAGTGTTTAGATGTCTGCATTCACAAGAAAACACCACCTAACTGTTTAGCGTAAGAGCCGCTGTAGGACATTAAATTTTGAGGCATGAAATTCCAAGGCTGCCTGAAACTGTTTTTATCAAGCATGCTGTCCTCTTCACTGAGGTCTCTGTGTGGCTGGTCCATACGGCCATGCCAGGGCAGAGAACTGGCATTCAGGTACCCACATTGCAGGGACGGTCTGTCCTGCTCTTCTGGGAGGACAAACTCACATGGAGAGCTAGGAATGACTTCTGGCAGAAAACCAGTGACTGACTACCCAGAAAATGGGAGACCCAAGTTCCAGACCCACTGCAAGCCAAGAGATTTTGAACCTACAGCTTTCCCTAGTTTTCCAAGGGAATACACAAACCATCAGGACACAGTGAGGTTTCAGAGGGCATACGAAGCATGGCTATGAAACCTAGTCATTAAGACACTGAGGGGGAAGATACAGGGATCTCTCCTGCTCCTTGAAATGATCTTTTTTTCTACTACTGACTGTCCACAGTAAAATATGCAAACTAAGTTGGCACCGAACTCTGATCGAGGCACCCCCATGCAGAGAGGAGTGCGCTGGGCTCTGAGCCCATTTCACAGAAGGCCGTAATGGTGCTCCTGAGACACACGCCTCAGCTCATGCAGAAACCAGGGGTTTGAACACAATTCCTTTTTGCCATTTCATAATGATTGACTTGGCCATCTCAGGGTTCAGTGGTGGCTGGAAATTACCACCTAAGCATCTAGTTCTTCCTCATAAGGTGCACAGGATGCTTGGATGTGCAAATAAACCTTCTGTCCTGGGTTTGGGCAGAAACTTTTAGGCAAAGCATGTAAAGTCATAAGGCCCTTTGCTGAATGTCTGCTTATGTGCTATCTTGGTTCAGGGCTAAAGGACACTGCAAACATACCGAATTAAGTGAATCAGGAGTGCACAGCTCTCCCATGGTCACAAGATGTTTTTTTAAAAAGTGGAGGTTAAGCAGCCCATTTAATGCAGGTGGGTGAGCAACGTCCAAGATCTCACCCAGCATCGACCAATTGGATCAAAGGCAGAGCAGCATTTAGCTGCTTCTAGCACCGAGCAGCCACCCTGGCAGCTTCAGAACGAACTCACAATGGCACAGAAAGGGTGCCATTCTTCTCAGGAACTTGTGTAATAAAGCTTCTTTCAGACTCCTCTGTCAGTTTGCATGACCCCTGTCTGTTATTAAAATAATATTTAATAATAGCATGTATGTCATCAGTAAATGCAACATAGGTGCATTAAATGCAACATAGGTGCATTACTAAACCAGCTTGTTGTTTCTGTTGTTTCAGAGGAGAGAAAAATTTCCATATTTTTTATTATATTTATGCTGGTCTGGCGGAAAAGAAAAAACTGGCACATTATAAACTGCCAGAATATAGACCTCCCAGGTAATGCAGTTTATATTTACATAAATTATTTATTTTTACATAAATTACTTTTATTAAGAAATGCAGTGTTGTTGAATTTTCACCTCATTTACATTCTAACTCCATATCCATCAACTCTTTCAGATATCTGCAAAATGACCATTTCAGAATAGTGCAAGATTTCATGAACAATAGCTTTTATAAGTCTCAGTTTGAATTAATTGAACAGTGCTTCAAAGTCATAGGTTTTACACTGGAGGTGAGTGCTGATAACACTTTTTTTTTTGGTGAACTTTAATGGCTGTCTTAATCAGAAAAAACTTATATAAGGCATTCAAATAATCTTCCTTGTTATTTTCTTCCTTTAGCTGTAGTGTGTTTATGTTTTAGGATATTGCATGGTCAACTTACTGTTATATTACCACATTTAAATTTTTAAGGTTTCAAGGCACTGAAAAACTAATAAAATGGTATTAGTCAACAAGACTTTGAAATCAGTGAACATAGCACAGCTGAGTAATTGGGGAAAAAAGGCTTTTGCAAATTAAATGCATAGAAAACGATGTTGTAACTATTTATTAGCCTATAATTTTAAGCCTCTGAACATGAGCCTCATTTCTGTTTTAAGATGAAGTCCATGGTGAGAGTTCTAAAAATTCATTGAGTTGATATGAGTTTTGATGAACTCAATACATTTCCACAACTCCAGGGCAAAGTTGAATGAAGTTTTTACATCCCTTTGGAGTGAATCTCATCACTGAACATTAACCGAACCCATTCTTTCTGTATAATCTCATATCATTACTCCGCTGGCCATTAAACCCCTCTCTTCAGGCTGTCTTTGGTATAATTACGATAAAAACCAGGCCTCTGGATCTATAAAATAGGATGCAAGGGAGGGAAACCCCATCCTGCACCCTAGTTCTCTCTTCTTAGAAGTGGTTTATCACAGCTGTAGTTTACTGCTGACTGACTTTAGCACAAACAATAGTAGGCGTATGATCCATACAGTATCTGTGAAATATAGCACTAGTGCTGCAGAATGGATCGATGTTTTAATTTCTCTGACTGCATGTTATGACGAACTTTTCATGGAAAACTACTCACTTCTGTTGAATATTTCTGGCTTCCCTCAATGTAAATATTTTAATAGCTAGCAGAAAACAGATTTATTCACCTATTCTGTTCCTCCATACTCATTTTGCATTAAGCCATAGTAGCAGCAGAGTTCACAGTCTCTTTCTCCTCTACATGCTTATTCCCAACTGCACTTAGTAATTTCACACCTGTAATATCACACATCCTTTCACACCTGTACTTTCACTTTCCCTGAAGCACCATGGAAGAATATGCACAATTCAGCACTGATAGCTGTTTTGTCACAGCACTGGAGACCTTGATAAGTCCTAATTTATAGCATGAAAAGCATCAAGTCTGGTTTTGTTCCCAGTTCTTTTGTTCACTTTGATGGATGCAAACAATAATCCTGATCGTCCAAAAGAGACGACCTTCCTTACATATTGAAGATCCAGTTAGAACTAGGTCACTGGCCACATTGTGTAGTTCTAGCATGCATCTTCACTTGATTAACTCAGCACACCACTGCAAGCTGAATCTGTAAAGAATCCTCTACCTGTAGAACCCCCGCAGTTTCAGAAGCAGGCTGAGTACCATAGGCAATGTAACTGTGGTTACATGTGAGCCCCATCCATGTTAGCCTGTCTTACATTCTCCACAGGGTGAACTAGTCTGTCTGAGGCTGCGTGTGCAAGAGTGAAGGAACAGAGAAGTCCTCTTCCCCCACAGGGGTTCTGATAGAAGATAAATGTGCAGAGACAATTTATTTTCAGTGAGAAAAAGATACTGTAAGACAATGAGTTCCTGTTCCAAGTTCACTTTTCAGTAATGCAGCCTTAAGCTTTGACATTCATCCCAGTGCACAGAGGAGGTCCTATATAACCAAGTTCCATGTTTTATTAGCAGAAAACCTTGGACAAAATGTCCACTCCAATTAAAACTGAGAGCTAAACAAGGCTTTATTTCTTTGAAATCTGTTTTTAACTGACTAGCAAGCTTTAATAGTGACTACTGTCAGTACTCCTTGTCTTAAAATTACACTGTTTTATTCCAGGCTGCATGGCAAAATTAATAGGAAGGGACTGCCTGAGGTGAACAATAATCATGCTGTATGAGACAGATCAAGCCAGATTTCAAACACACTGGAAAAGGGCACAAAAATGTCAGCAGTGATATATACTGTACAGCGTAGTGGCAGAAGTTAAGCTATCAATTTCTTTGCATTTCATCTGTGTCCCTAAGCTTAAAATGAAAATGATTGCTTAAAACCTAGGTAAACTGCACACCAATTATCCTGAGCATAATTTTTTAGATTGAGTTTATCTAGTTTGTCTTGCTGTCACTAGAATAATTAATTTATTAACTGCTAGATTAACTTCTGAAAGTGTCAAAAACAAGATCAAGTGTTCTAGAGCAATTAAGGACTTTATCTGAGTAAATGATGCCTGACATGATACCAGCAAACTATTGAATAGTAGGGATAAAATGTTCTGCAATTATGAAAAGTCCACCATAAAATACCAATCAAATTTACAAAACTGCTTCTTATAAAACTACTATAAAACTTACAAAACTGCTACTTATAAAATACACTATTACTCCATGCCTCAGAATATATCATATCACAGATTCCTAGCTTAAAACCTAGTCTGCTTTACAGGAACAGTTCAGCATTTCTGAGTAGAAAATACTCAGAGGTGATCAAGTATACCAATAAACGTTCACAGTTCAGATGAAAATTCAAAGTTCAAATCTAAGTCAAACCTGCAATGAAAGTATTATTTCATTAATTGCAAATATTAATTTATTTGTCATATATACATACTTAAAATCATTTACTGTATATATCCCTTCACTGTCAAGACTAGTATTAGCCCTTCTTCAAGGCAGAATCCTCTTCAGAACCTACTAAATAATTCAAAATTTAAATATGTTTAAGTAAAGTTCATACCAAAGTACTTTGGTGAGTACACAGTTCCTGTGTGACATTTTGAAGGGTAAAGTGCTTTGCCAAATCAGAGATGTGAGGTCTCATTCTTCTCCCAGTGAAACTTTTTCTGATGATGGTGGTGGGAGCTGTTGCAGACATATTATATGGAGTACCTTCGTTTCCGTGATCCAGGAAATGTAGATGCAGATTTTTTAGGTATTACCTTTTCAGACACAGTTATGCCTGCAGCCACAGTGAAGGGCGGATATAAATAACCTCTGAATGCCTTCTGTGTAAGAGGATTACGCTCACCACTGTTTTGTGTTTCCCCTACTCCATGTCAATCCTGCCCTGTAGACAAGTATAGAAGAGAGATTAGGCTATAGTTTGTCTTGCCCTCTTTAGGTGTCTTACACTTGAAAGACTGTGCCGAGGAAAGTATTCCTAAAAGTCGTGGGCGTGTGGCAGACGAGAGAGACAGTGATTGTTCCAGGTTTAGGAAACAGCACACATGCGTGTCCATCGCACAAACCAAAGTGACAAATCTGTCTGGCTATTAAGTGTTGCATCTCTTTTAATATACTTTGCAGGAACTTGGAAGTGTGTACAGTGTCCTGGCTGCCATTTTAAATGTGGGTAACATTGAATTTTCTGCAGTGGTATCTGAACATATGATTGACAAGAGCAACATTTCCAATCCAGTAGCCCTTGAGAATTGTGAGTGGTTTTTCTTGATTTCATATTGGTTTTGTTTAGTGTTTTGATAGCAAGTTTATTTTCTTGCAAGAGAGTTATCAATGAAAACTGTATTCACATGGAAATTTTGCAAGAATAATGAAATGCTGAAGATAGATTAATTGCAAGCCCACCTGAATTCAAATGCAAAAAGAAAAAATTGTCCATGTTATGCACCTTATTTGACTAACCAGTTCACTGGCATTCAGGAAACATGACTAATACTGCAGATGCCTGAAAAGAAAATCCTTGGAATTTTTCCAAGGTTATTTGAACATTTGATGAAGAACCTCATTAACACGTTGAATAGTTTTTTCCCCATTTTCTTTCTCAGATACTCATTACTTGTTCCCCATATGTGCCTGTTGAAATATGGCTCACTAATTCTTTGGAAGGGTTACCTTACATTGTAGGCTGCAGAGAGGCAGAGGAGGGAAGGGGGCAAAGATTCTCGAGGAAGTTGCTACTCTTTCTCAGTAATTACAGCTGGGAAGATAATGAAGTCTTCATGCTATCTCCTTACACATTTTCCTGCATAGATAGAAAAATATTGTGCAACTGGGAAAGAAACCCCCCTTTTTTTGGAGGAAAAGGAGGACAGCAATGACTTATATGGATGGATTATAACTGAGAGGGATATTCACACCTCACAACTTACGTACTCCTGACACAGTCACCTAGATTCCCTAGCATTTCTCCGTAGACAGTTTGGAGAAATAGCCTCCTTGATAAAGCAATATAGAACCTAAAGGCCTCTGCTTTGAATCACTTACTCATTGACTGCAGTGGAAGCTAGGAAGGCTGGTGACTCAATTAAATGCTAACAGCTGTTTGGTGTGAACATCCTCATTAGTCATAGTTCAAGACTGATTTGGCTCTTATTCATAATATGTTGCACTTGCAGCCTTGATTGCAAAAATGCATATTTTTCCTTCCAAAGTCTGCCTCTGAGCTGTGCTTGTGACCTTCCTTCCTAGGTGCATCCTTGCTGTGTATTCAGGCAGATGAATTGCAAGAGGCCCTCACCTCTCACTGTGTAGTGACTCGAGGAGAAACAATTATTCGTCCCAACACTGTGGAAAAAGCCACTGATGTCAGAGATGCCATGGCCAAAGCACTGTACGGGCGCCTCTTTAGCTGGATAGTTAATCGCATCAACACTTTACTCAAACCTGACAAACATTTAAGGTAAAAGAAGCTTTTCCAGAATAAAGGGAGATTTTCTATGGGAATAATATCATCTACTTATGTTCTCATCTACATTTTCTCTGCTACCTGTTTGTTTTTAACACTACGATGTTAAATAAAGTTTTACCCTATTCATAGGATGGAGTGAAGATGCAGTAGATATGGATAGCACAGGTGTCTTGTGTTTTCCTGTTTGACCTTTACTTATCTAACTCTTTGTAAATTATGGACTAACTACCTTTTCCTTTATACTATTTCTGCTGGTATGCAGAGTCAATTCTTGACATTTATATGTTGATGAGGCTTTGGGCAACCTGGTCTAGTGGGAGGTGTCCATGCCCATGGCAGGGGGTTTGGAACTAGATGATCTTTGAGGTACCTTCCAACCCAAGCCATTCTATGATTCTATAGGTCAAATTCTGCTCTTACTTGCACCCATGCTGTTGATTCTGTTGCTGTTGTTATGAAAGTGGTTTCATATGTATGTGAGAGTAATTTCCAAACACATTGACTGAGGTTGATGTCCACTCCACCGTTACAGGGTGACATGTTGAACACACAGACAAAAAAGGTATTGGGAATGAGGATGTAACACATTTTGCAAATTAATCAAAGAAGAAATGATGTGGCTTACATTGTAGATCCTATAGGTCAGGGCCCTCTATGGCTTGTAATAAGTAGAATATCAATGACCGATAGCTTTAGTTTGCAAATCTGGATTTTCTGGAATTGTTGGGGGATTTTTTTCAAACATCAGAGAAAGGCAAAGCTGCAATTCAAAATTTTGTCTAAACTTTCAAATATTTGGTTACAGCAGAGCAGCAATAAACAGAACTTTAATCAGTAAGTGATAGGATGAAGTGCATGCAGCACTGCCTGTTACAGAGCCCTTTTGAAATGGAATAGTTATTGTGCTGGTAAGGAGGGAGAAAGTTTGACCTCAAAAGTTCTCTATTAAAAAAAACAAAAAAACCAAACCTCACAACACAAACAAAACAGACAAAAAATATCCTGAAGTCTGCTTTGTTTCTGTGGTAGTAAAATAATTTGTATTGCTATTTTTTTGTAATTAGCTCTGGGAAGGAATGAGGCAGACATTTCAGCAGTCTACTCACACAAAAATGTAATTTCCAGACAGATAAAATAGTCACCAAATTCAGGTCAAAATCAATAAATACCTTTGATCCCCTCCATGATGAAATGCTTCCATTTTTTGAGATGGACTTCTCAAAAAGGTTCCAGTACTCTTCATGAGTATCTTGAGGCTTGTTCTTCAGATCTGATTTCCTACAGTTTTTATGAGGGGGGAAAGGTGGTTACAGATAGCCCCTCAAAGCGGTTTAATAGATAAAATGTGGTTTATTCTTTTTAATTTATCTAGGAAAAAATGCTAATGTTGACTACAGTTTGTTATAAAATTATATCCTCTTAATTTTTTGTTTCAGCAAATAAATAGAAATAATAGAGCTTTTTTCCAGTTGCAGAAATGATCTCAGAATGCCTTAGCTAAAATTGCAAACTGAAGTTTTTACTAGTAGTACTTCTCTGGAACTTAATTGGTTATTTAAATTCATACCACACTCCAATACATAAAGTAGTGATTTAGATGCATAAAAGGTCTAGCCATGCATTCTTTTGACTTTCATGTTAAAATAACCAGTTTTAATTGTTGTGAATAAATAATATGAAGGAATCATATTTAATGACAGCAATCTTTAAATTCAGGATGCTGGTGAGTAAAGCCTGCTTTATTACAAGAGAAACAAAAAGAACTCCATGTTGTTCCTATACTGTAGTCAGTTTTATATAACAGAATAATAACTAGCAAATATTAATTTAAAAATAAAATTTTAAGTTCTTTATACGCTTATCAATTGATTTGGTCATTATATAATTCAGTGTATCTGGTCTGCAAATACAGTCATCTTTGAATTTATGTGCATTTATTATATTGCAAACAAAAATTGATTGTTATTTTAAGAGATAGGTGGTTTAGCAAAAATTATCCTGTTTAACAGACATACAGATCGGGGCCATTATTTCCTTTTGTGAAATAATAATGAAGTTAGTCACTGTAAAATAAAGATACAATAGAAAGTTTATTTAATCTTTGCAGTGGAAACGATGATGGTTTGAACATTGGAATTCTTGATATCTTTGGCTTTGAGAATTTCAAAAAAAATTCTTTTGAACAACTCTGTATCAACATTGCCAATGAACAAATTCAGTTCTACTTCAATCAACATGTCTTTGCCTGGGAACAGGTATTTGTCGAATATTGTGGTAAAGATTTAATATTGCTGAACATATAAAACTTGGTCTCAAGAAACTACACTGTTCCTTCTCCATAATAGGTAGTAAATTGCAAATTATAACAATTTTTTTTCTGAGTATGTATTATGTGAGGCTGTGCTTGCTATTTGCAAGTAAAATGCCTACATAAAATGCATTAAACTTGAAGTTTACAGTATCTAAGCAACACGACACAGTGATAATCGGTTTGATGCAAATGAATATTGTTTTCTTGAGGAGTAACATGAGTGATGTAATGTATGATTCTACAGTAAAAAAATAAATGAGTGGTAACATGACTTTTAAAGTGCAGTATTCATAATAGCCTACTAATAAGCTTAATGAACACTTAAATTCTATTACTAAAAACTGAAAATCTTGCAATTATTTTGTTCTTATTCAGGAAGTAGATCATCTAAGCTAAATAAAGATGAATTTAATCTAAATAATTTGATGTAAAACAGAGAAAAGGAATAAAATTGTAATTATAAAAGTTTATAAAATTGAAGTGGATAGTGAAAAACCACAAAAAAGGTCATCTCAACTTTGTGAATAATTCCATGAGAATTAAATTAGCCATCTTTAAATCATTATTCAATATTGTTATTTGAAGAAATAACACATCTGGGGGAATAATATTAATCTTGCTGAAAATAGAAATATTCCAGAATTCTGTATGAGCAGAACAGTAATTCAAATTTTAGGTGAAATAATACTTTCTCTGTTTTATTGAAATTATTTGGGTTTATGATACATAGACAAAAATCGTCCTGAATACTGACTTTAATTATTAGTAGAAAAAGCATATTTTGTCAGTTTTAACCACTGCTTGTTTTAAGGGTGAGTCATATACAAATTTGGAATGTGTCTACATATGGAGGTCTGTACATGCATGTGTCAGTCTACAGGTGTATATAACTATGTGTACAATGGAAATTTTTTTTATATGGCTCAATGTTTTAGCCTGTTTCCAATTATTTCAGGAAATGCTGTCTTTCAGTCTTAGACCTTGTAGTTGTTTTTATAGATTTATGTGGGAGATTTTCAGTCACAAGTATTTCCTTGTCTTTAATACCATCTAAAAGTCAGAGAGAAATTAGCCTGAACTACTATAATTACTTAGGCATCTTCTTTCCAAAGTGCATAAATTCAAACAAAAAGAGCACTTGGCTACTGCTGTTTCTGACAGCTGGAAGACGGAAATAGCACAGACTGCAGCACTGTTATTTATTCCTTTTAAATCCAGGCACTGACCAGGTCCCATGGACTTGCATACGTCCACTTTGCTCAAATGTTCCCTAAACTGATCCTCCCCCACCAAGGGTAAGCTTTCCTTGCTCCAGGCTTTCCCTCTCGTCTCAGGGACCTGGGATTATCAGTCAAGACCAAGGCAAAGGTGGCATTGAGTATCTCAGCCTTCTCCATGTCACCCACACCTGTTTAGCAGCAGGACCACATTTTCCCTAATTGCCTTTTTGCTGCTGATGGACCTGCCTTGGCTTTCCTAACCCTATCCCTGTACGCCCAAATATTGTCTTAATATTCCTTCTCTTCTTTAATTAGACTTGGGTCCTGTTCAGTGTAATCTGCCTTTACTTGTTTCTAGATATCCTAATGCAGAACATTTGGGCCAGAAGTATATTAATGCAGAGGTTTGTGGTGTCACCATCTAGTAGGAACATTTTCTTCCCCTGCACGCACCCCACTGCAGAGAGATCAGGGTGGTTATTTTCCTACTGAGGAGATAAGAGAAAAAATGAACCTCTGATTTTGACGACATACAGTTTACTCATTTCTCCTTGTAGGAAATTAGTAGGACAATTACAGACCTTATGGAATGGGAAGGTGATCTTTATTTACAGAATCTCTAAGTATGCTGATTTTACCCACTCCCACTTGTTCTCTCATGGATTTCATTGACTCACACCCACACAGAGAGCATCAAGATGTGTGTGTTCAAGTGGTCTGGCCAGGATCGTTTGTGAGCGACACAGGGAATAAGGGACACCAACTAGCAAGTCTTCATCATGTCTCTTCGGTTCTTCTTGCTGAAATAGTTTTTGGACAGATCTCTTACACCTTTTAGCAATCAGCGGTTGTTACGGGGCGGTTCTTTGCCTCAGAACCTTACTTATTTCAGCCTCTGTAATCTTTAGGCAAGGTCAGTATCTGGTTTTGCTTGTTTGGAATATATGCATCCTTGTGCCTACAGTCTGCTTCCTTGGTGGGAAAAGGAAAGGCATATGTGATGTGCTGTAACCTTGCAGTCATCCTCCTGCTGTCAGATTTAGAGGGTGTTCCACTCGCTAGCTGTCTGCGCTGTTTTTATGAGAGTGCAGGCCTTCTGGTCTTGATGTAAACAACACTTTCCTCAATTTTATTGCTGTGAACAAATGTTCTTCATTCAAATCACAGGCCATTCTTCTAAGACTCTTTCTTCTGGTGCTTATACGCACATTTCCATTAATATTTCATTTATACTAGTGATAATATTCCTATTACGAATGTTCACATCCTGCCTGTAATACTGACCGAGTAAGATGCCTACTTTAATTTATGTGACACCACTACACTAGATTATATCAAGCTTCATTATATTATCTTGTAGTAATCTCCAAAGATATTACTATGGCAGTGCAGAATGAGCTCTATGGATTAAGTTTGTGCAAGTGTGGGTGTAAATCCCCCCGCTTTCAGAACCAGGAAAGGACAAATGCTTTATTCTGCATTACAGGCCAATGGCACAGGGTGATTTGCAGTATGATTCATAGTCATTATAAGACATCACTTTTCACTTCTCTATTACGTGGTTGCTCCAGTTTTACATCACAAGAATAGTCTTCGAGAAAGCAGGTGGCTTCAGAATCTTTTCTGTTCACTGTAAGGACTCTCCTGTGTTAGCACCAGTAATGTACTTTAATTGTAAATACAAGCCTTCCCTGCAGACATATAAGAGAAAACCATTTGCAGGAAAATATAAAATATAATTCCTACATTTTCTATACATGGAAAAAAAGAACATATTTTCAAAATTATATGACTGAAATTAAAAGTTCAGCAGATCATTGTTCTCGTTAATGATACAAAGTATCACTTACATAAAAGCCAAACAGTAGGATGAGCCCAGCCCTTTGCTGATGCGTCTGCCTGACTTCACACACATGTAAGGGTTTGTGTCTTTAATACTAAAAGACAGGAGCTATGTTTAGAAGGCTGATGCCAACAGCCACTGAGACCTTTGTGTCGACTTTTCATTACCCCCAAGCTGACTGCCATGCTGATGGAGCTATCCTGTTGCTGGGGACCCAGCCCAGTATCTCTCCACAGCCCTGTGCAATGCCAGACAGACGTGTTGGATTGCTCTGTGCTCTCTCAGAAATCTCTAACACGACACTGCATTGCACCCAGTAGATCTAACCAAAGATGACTGGGGAATTTAATTTCATTCATACTTCCCCCAAGAGAAGTAAAACTCACAGGTACATTATTTCTTCATTTCTTTCCCTGTTTTGCCCAGTTCAATTTCATACCACATGCAATTAGATGAAATTTGACATATCTAGCGGGAAGTCAAGGCCTAAATCAGTTGATTATAGTCCAGTTCTCCATTAACCCATGTCAACCTAATAAGTAGTGACTACAGAACTAGGGAAGGTGAATCATTCCTTGGCGACTTGAGCAATGAAACCAAATAGTAAGTGAACTCCTATGGCTAAATTGTACTTTCAGTGTTGCAGGTGACATGTTTTTAGCATTGTCAGTGGTTTCTTTTCTGTATCTGAATCTGAAAAGTGTTCAGTTTTGGTTTCCTTGGAAGTGTGGCCAACAAAAATATGGCCTCAGAAGTGATAGGAATAGTAGGAAGGAACAATGGTACTATCACCGCCTGAGACACAGGGTGTCTGTTAGAGCAGTGTCTGCCTGCCAATGATGTGGAGAACTCAAGTCAAAATTAAGGGAATTTATTATTTTTTGTTGCCTTAATGTTTGCATTTAAGAATAAAGGCTTTTAGGCCTGAATGACACTTTCTTTCCCTAATTTAACAGCAAGACTGAAGTGGGGAGTATCGTTAATCTAAAACTAGTTTAGAATCCCAGTAGTCAATGGAGACAAATAAATACATCTCTGTCTCCACCGACTAGGTGGAAATGTGGGCTCTCAACTTAGTCACTTCTTTTATGCGTTAGTTAAGTGGAATGAATGCTGGTACAAGCTTTTGTTAGGTTAGTATTAAGCAAAGCAGAACTTTTGCACCTTCAGTCCTGTCCTTCAAGCTGTTTGTCTTACATGTACGGTACTGATGTAAGCTAATTCTCTGTCAGCTCCATCATCTGCAGGTAACATGGGACAGCAAGACAACTTTCCCTTTTCTTTCTCATTTGTGATTCTTCCATAAAAAGTAAAAGGTGTAATGTCAAATACCTAAAATATTTTGCAAAGTGGCAAGTTTACTGTATAGCTGGAAGGATGCTACTTTTTGCATTAAATATATGAAATGTTTATTTTACATTTATATGACAATTCAATCTTCTGCTTTAAGCTGGAAATTCATTCTAAGTAAGTCTCTGGTGTTTCCATTTAAGCCAAAGTGTCATCATACCACGGTCTCAGCAAAATGCCATTACCTTTTTTTATTAAACATGATGACCATTTCCTAATGCATTAAAAAATTATTTTGTTATTATGTGAAGCCAGGTTGCACAAGCTAATATTATCTAGTTTTGATCATAGAAAAGATAGCACGCAATACCAAAAAGAGATAGTAGCCTGAGTATTAGTGTAACTCAGTCTTTCCTTTTGACATCTCATCCACAGGAATACTTTCTCGTGGATTATGCTTTAGAATTTCAATGAGCAGCTGCTATTTTTAGGAGCTTTCTTGTCATAAACCATCATGGGAGATTACAGAATCCTATAGCTGATTCAGCTTATTAATTCAAATAAGATCTATTTCATTACAGTTTTATGATGTGCATCATTAAGGCTTTTGTCCTTGCTGCTTGTATCCTAATAATATGGTTGAAGACCAGTGTTGCATAAGAAAATGTAATACGGTATCTTATTTCTGAGCCATCTGTCACACTGGTGCCTGGCAGACTTGGTTATCAGCCATCCTCCAGGAGCCCATGGGAAGTGATGGAGTGAACTCCTTCCATATCCTACTGGGCAGACAGCAGCATTACCGAAACCGTCAGCGCTGACACTCATTCGGTTGTCACGGTGCAGACACAAAAGACAGAATAGTCACATACGCTGCAGGCTTGGAGGTCAGCCCCACGCACTGGCTGGGCAGGGAGGGGAGCAGATGTTGTTGTTACGGTGTAGTAGTGCAGCTACTGCAGATCTCCTTTCAGTTTCAAGGAGAACTCTTCTATCAGCTCTCTAAGCCAGTGTCTCTCACAAGCATTTGAAGTTGGAAAAAGTTAATCATTAGATAGGTTGTCTTTGAGAACTTGTATGAGGATGTCTGAGTGTCACAGAAACACTCTTCTCTGATAGATTCATTCTAAGAATTCTCTTCTCTTTTCCCTCTTGATGAGTGTACTCTTGATAACCCTAAGCAGCAACAGCTGGTTTCATGAACATAACATCTGTATGTCGCTCAGTTGAGCTGCCCCTGCTCCGGTGTTATCTTTGGGCGATAACAAGGACTCATTCCCTTCCTGCCACTAGCTCCTACGGGTATATAATTTCTTGCCTGTATCAGTGATACATTTATTACTCTTCTGTCTTGTCCCGCTACTTAGGTCATTGATTAAAATAAAACACAAAACTCCACCTGTCCACTGCTTCAGGGGAGACATGAATGAAGTTAATGTTATGTGTCTGAGATGAGGAGTCCTCATGGGGCTGTAGGAGAGTTTCTTACTGCTTACACCCTTGTACGGGCATATAAACTAAGACATAACCTACCAGTTATGAGTGAGGAGTGTCCTGGGAAATTAGATCAATCTGGATACTGGAATGGTTTAGGTATATATTCTGTATTCTCTTTCAAATAGATCAGCAGATTTATTTATTTGGGTCTGTATTTCCAGGACAGTATTATTGATTTTATTCATTTTGATGTTTCTTTCTGGCTTAGAGATTAATAGGTATGAAATCTAATAACATGTGCTTTTCTGTTGTATATGGTAGTTAACTCCTTTTCGAAACATTCAGTATATTGCCTTCTTCACTCATTCAGACTCAAGTGAATGGCACATAAGGAGAGGTCTTTCAGGGTTAGAGGTCTTCGAACTCATTAATATTAGCCATCATTCATGTTTCTGACACTCTTCTCACAATGAATGCAGGATAGTGCAATTGTGATGCTAACACTATACATTAATACAACACTTTCATAAAGTCCTATCCTTTGGAAGAGGGATGATTTTTAAAGTAGATCAGGAGGCTTAATTATGTGTTTCATACTGTAGCCTGCACAGGACTGAAGGCAGCCCTGGTGTATATGGGAGCACTGTGCAGTGGGCAACTGCTATTGCATTACACAATGCAGGCGAAAATAATGGAAGGGTGGCAGTCCCTAGAGCATCCTTCTCTTGGTAAATCTGCGGCTGTCCTCTGCCTTGCTGAAAGACTAAAGAAAGTCATTCTTGTATTTGTCCGCTATAATTTAAATTATTTTCAAGATAAAATCCAAAGGTATTTGCAGTCTTCAGGAGAAAAAAAAAATCACAAAAAAACCCCACCAGCTTTCCTATATTTTTTTAATTTTGCTGAATACCTTTCCCTAGTTCCTTAAAAGGAGCGAAAATGTTGTAGAGGCCAACCTGAGACAATTAATTAATTTTTAGAAAGTATGTACATCATTCTTTAATTATTAGAACTTCTCCACATAAGACCTTTTCCAGGTCTTTGAGGAGGGGGATCAAATGAGTGAGGCCTCTGTAATCTGTAGTCACTTTTGTAAATCTTGTCCACTGTACCTCACACAGATCTGAGAAACAAATTGGGAATGTAAATGTAGCTCTAAATGATTAAGAAATATTTTTTATATTGCAGATGAGGGACATAAATAGACACTGAGTAAACAGACACTGAGTAAACAGACACACATCTGCAAATGCTATACTTTATCTTCTTCAACTCTGTTTCTTTAATTCTTGCATATTCGTGGAAAGCATCTTACTTTACCAAACATGCCATAGGATGCACTTACATATCCAAAGGCAAATTAAAATCTCTAGCCTGACAGTGTGATACAACCCAACTGACATTTGTTTCTGCAAAACAGCAGAAAATGTCTTTAGCCCCAGGGCATACTTTTTCAATGTAGTTTTAATTTGCTACAACTGACAGTTTGTGAATTATTTTCTGAAGTGGTTCTGTATACACAGACAAAACATGCCTTCTGTTGCTTGTTACAGAATGAATACCTATACGAAGGTGTTGATGCAAGAGTTATAGAATATGAGGACAACAGGCCCCTCTTAGATATGTTCCTGCAGAAACCAATGGGTTTGTTGTCCCTGCTGGATGAGGAAAGTCGATTCCCACAAGCAACAGATCAGACACTTGTAGGTAAGTATATGGTTTATTTCACAGTATTGCAGGATGTCTCTCTGTTAGATTTCTGTTTGGCCTGTCCAGTTTAGGCTTTATGCTAGGTATGTTTTCAGTGAGCCCACATTCCAGTGTCACAGTATGTTTGAGGGAGACATGCTTGCAGGGATGGATGTCTTTGAAGTTGATAGAGAAGCATCAAGAGTACAAATGAACCTAAGCTGCTGATCCAGGTTTTGAATTCTCCTGCCTTCAGGAATTTTTAGCTGCAGGGCTTGAAGGATAAAGATCAAACTGAGTTAAAACTCTAGGTTCATATGCCAAGAACGCTGTTTTCAAAGTTGAGTCGTGTTCAGCTCTGAGATTTTTGATGAGCCATATCCAAACAAGAATTTTAGTACTTTTTAAGGGTAATGGCTGCAAACCTGCCTCAGTGCCTTTCAGCAAATTATGCTTCCTCTTTTTTTTCTATTCAGAAATTAAACCACCTAAATATGTTGTCATTCAGATCCTGATTATTCCGGTGGGGCTGAGTAGTTGCAGTTACATTTGATTTGGTTATTTCACTGGGGTTTCTGTGCAGATAAATTCTGTCCTTGTTTTACTCATTTTTGAATGTGCAAAGTGTCAGATGAGAGTTTTAACCAACACCCAATCACAAATCCTAATAACATGCAGTAATGATGCCCATGCTAAAGCAATTATATGAGCTTGTTGTCTTTCTATCCTCATACATTTTAGTCTACAGTACAGAGGCTCTTAATCAGTTGATAAATGTTTCCTGACAATTCCCCAAGGAATCCTTAGGAAGGATTACTACATTGTTTCATATATGAAGATCAAAAGCTTAGAAAGGCAAGCAATTTTCTGAGGTCACACAGAAAAAAATTGATACAGAAAAAGTAACTGATCCAAAAGCTCCCATATTCTCTATCCAGTGCCTTTTTTTACAAGACCATTATAGTATTTTTGTCCTTAAAAACATCAGAGTCTGTTTTGTGCCTCTGTATTGTCTGAAAAGTCAGGCAATATCCTTAGAGGGATACAGATTCAGAAGACAATTATTGTACAGTAACTCCAGTAAGATAAGCTATGTGTTTTCTTTCAGAAAAATTTGAAGATAATTTGAAGTCAAAATATTTTTGGAGACCCAAAAGAGTAGATCTAACCTTTGGGATTTATCATTATGCAGGAAAGGTAAGAAACCTAATGATATTGGTTGGGAATTGTGGAATGGCAGGGCTGGAAGGAAATAGAAGAGGTCAGCTGAGCTGGTTCTCAATCTTCATCTATTCAGGCCTGACATGGAAATGTTGGCAGTGCCTTACACATCAAAAATAAATTGAAAGTTATTTTCCCTCATAAAAAAAGCAATAGCCGGAGTGTATTTTTCTTAAATGTCACCAGGTAAATGAACTGATTGTATTATAGAAGAACAAAATTTAGCCATTATGTAATGCAACTCAGTGCTCTTCCCCTTAGTTCCTCAAAGTCCTGTGCCATGCTTGTTCCCACTGCTTCGAATCAGGATCCAGCTCCGTTCTTTCTACTACCTCCTACACCCTATCAGCCCTACTTAGCTCTGTACTCTGTCATCAGCCAGATAGATAGTGCAGGACCTGCTTTCTGCTTCGTTTGATGAGCAGCATCTTGCCCTGCTGTACCAGATGACTTGCTGCACATGCCTTTCAAACTCAGGAGGAGTTGCTGATGCGCTGCAGCAAGATGCCACTGTCACTTGAATCTTGTCTTGTGAAAGCAGGAGATCCCACCTCCTTTTGAGCTCTTCTAAAGGGTATGGAGTGGGCATTGCTGTCTCACACAGGAAACTATGTTGGGTCTGAGCAGTGCTGGAGCAGCTGGCCTGGAAAGAGGCAACATACTGCCCATCAGCTGACAGAAGGTAACTTGCCCCTTGTGTAAGACAGCCAGCTACAAAAGGCCTGCAGTAACTCCTCTGAATCCCATCTCCAGCTGAATTACCCTTTACCGGCATAGCATACCTTACTGCTGAGGAGCAGAGAGCCAGCTCTCCCCGTATCATTCCGGATAGCAGCCACTGAAGATGGGGACTCCACCAGGGCCCCATCAGCCCTTCCCAGTGTTCAACAAGCTTTTTCATTAGGAAGTTTCTCCTACTGTCTAACTTATATCTCCATTGCTGTGATGTAAGTTCATTACTCCTAGTCCTCTTTACTGTAGAACTGGGGAACAATTTATTTCCTCTTCCTTTACAAGCCTTTCTTGTAACTTAAGACTGTTACTGGGTTGTTTTGTGAGGATTTTTTTCTAAATTATACATGCCAGTATTTTCCACCCTTCTTCACAGGACAGGTTTTCTTGTGGGTCCTTTACAGCATCATTGAGAGAGTCCTGGAGGTACATTCTGAGTTAGGTACATAATTCCTGGAATTTTTAGAGACATTTCAGTTGCCAATATACAGTTTGTGATTTTGCAGACTTCCTCTACAATTAATACAGAAATCTCTAGGAAGAGTGGTAAGTCCTGAGCCTGGTACAGCACGCTATGAGTGGGACAGAAAGATTGTACAATCATATGGGAAATCCTGTGTGATATGGTTGAAATCAAGTGCATTGTTAATTGTACATTTACACGTGTACTGGTGTAAAGGAGGACTACAATACACTTGTCATAGTGATGAATCCACACTGGCTAAAACTAATATTAACATATCTGCATTAGGGAAAATACATGTCTCAAGCTAATTTGGAATGATGAATCTGCTTTTAGTGATCTGCATCATAATGGTTCTCAGTATTAAAAAGTTAGAACTTTCAGTGATCAAAAGAAAGACTGTAAGCAAGAGCGAGGCCAATGGCTGAAAAACTATTTGTGTATCTTGATATATGAAAAGCCACATGCCAGAGTGCTTAAATTTACAATTACTTTTCAAAAGCCTGGAAAATGCATAAATGCACTTTTTAAACAGGTTCTATATAATGCAAGTGGATTCCTAGCCAAAAATAGAGATACTCTGCCAGCTGATATTGTGCTGCTACTGCGATCATCTGAAAACAATCTGACGCGACAGCTGGTAACTCATCCTCTTACAAAAACAGGTATTGCTATTGTGCTAATCTTATTCTTCTCTAGCCTTCATGATGACCACTGCTAGGTTTCATATGACCATTTGCTGATGACGTTATACACTTTGTGGCTTAACTTTCCAACCCTAGAATCTATACAGAATGGAGCCCCAGCCATCTCAAGCTGCAGGGGAGGGATTGGTCTGGTCAAGTGCCAAGCAAGTGGTAGAGGCTTCTTTCAGGGTCCTCTCTTCAGGGTAGGGGAGCAAGACAGGGAGTGGAGTGCATCCCTTGAGTTGAGGACTGAACAGAAAGGATCAGGTAAGTCACTGCCCTTTTTTGGACAGGGCATATATAAATTGCCTGGTTTGTCTCAGTGCAATTTTTCTCTAAAGTAGTAGAGAACCAAGGTTGGGGCTCTTAACATCTGCTGCAAAGAGTGAGGAGACACTCCTCTATTTCCCCAGTCTTTTAGTCCTTTACACTAGGTAACCAATGGGGTCCTAGTAGTGAGCTCTTCCTCAGGGAGTTCATAAGTTGGGGTGGAGGAATATGACTGGCTCTACAGATATTACTCCTAAGTTGCACCTTAGTTGAACCAGCTCCTTACACAGTGTCCTACCCATCATTTTAAGATGATGGGTAAGTCTCCTTACAACCAGTTTGCTATTGTGTTGTATTACTCCCTGCATGATGACATTGATGCTTTACAGTAAGTACTTTACAACATTACTTTCTTGTGCATCTACATGGGAGATGTAGTAGAACAGAAAAGCTAAATTGGAAGACCCTAATGGAAATTTCTCTAAAATGTTATCGTAGCTTACAGAAACTGAGGTTTTGGCAAGGCTCCTATTCTTCACAAAGGGAGCTTTGCTGGTGGAATGGAAAATTTGGTCTTGAAGGTCTATTTTAAGTCAGTGTTTCTGGGAAAGCACTGAGGTCAGTGTCCTTGCCTGAACTTTTTGACTTCTTGATATCTGCTAAGATACTAAACTATGATTTCTGTAGAGCCAAAGTCAGGGCCCAAATGGTCCCAAGAACTGATCCCAAGTCTTATGTAATGTTTTGTAAGATAACTCTGAAGGTTGTTTTAGTCTTCTTGTTAAACGTTATGCAACGCTGTCTTCCAAAACTGACCCAAACCGTCCAGCTATAGCCAACTAAAAGTTAGATTTCTGGCCTAAGTTATTCATCTAGAATCAGTGGAAATGTAGAGGTTTACCCAGAGTCCAGCCCATCTTCTCTATCTCAGGTATTTCTCTTAGGATGGGATAAGTCCCTGAAGGTGCCTGTCTCCACTGAATACAGCGGGGATCCTGTAGACACCTCACGTTGAGATAGCTAAAGTTAGGTGTGAGTAACCCTCTCTCTTTCCTTCCCACCTTGTGATATTCAGCTAAGCCCAAGGGACGTTTAGCACTTGATATCATCACATAATACATGGTGCATTAGCTCAGCATGCCATATATTTGCAGCTGTTTATCCAACTCTTATCCACCTCTTACTGATTGTAGCTGAGCACAGAGAGATTACAGGCTCTCCCAGTGGAGAGTGAGATTCCAGAGCTGTTATTAGCAGAAGCAATGGCAGCGTGCAGGAATGGTTGGGGTTTATCAACATAGAGTGACATGATGGAAAGCTCAACAGAATTTTCATTATTCCTTTAGAAGACCAGTGTCTGTGTAAACCACTCCAATGCACCTATTCCTTCAAGTCATCATAATAAAGGTATTACTTGATTAAGAATTCCAAGGTTAGAGTCTTAAGACTATGTCTATGCTAGTAAACCAAACAGGGATGGTGAACAGTAGCTGAAACATTCCCACAGGATTGTCCATTCTGATGAATTGGTTAGCATGCCTCCCCATGGACAGTTTTGGACCATGTCAGCTAGCAGTCTCCCAGAAATACCCAGGCACACTTCAAGAGGAAGCACAGGCCAGTGATGGTTTCCAATAAGGTCTGTGGAAAGACACAACCTTATTTTTACCAGGACGTGAAAAGAGTAGTGAAGTATGGGGATAAACTGTATAGACTTGAGTCGTGCCATGTTACTTGCCTTCAGGGACAGAGAAGGGTGCTATCACTTTTATTTTTTTAACTAATATATATGTAACCTTAGAACTAGAATAGTACAACAACATCCTTAGGGTAAAACTACATGGATGCTCTAAGATGTGTCTTTCTTACCTTCTGCAGCACTATGTTTGTTTATTTTTTTGCTCTAGTAGGTGCCATAAGTGCTGAAGGAGGAAAGTTCAACCCACGTTCCATCCTCATGCAACTTCTTCAGAGCTTGTTCCCTCCCAAAGGTGAAAGGGCAAATGAGGACATACTACAAAAAAGTCAAATCTTTATAATCATATGGTTACACTGGGGGCATTCAGCATAGTTTTTAGTTTAGATGAGATGTAAGCATTTTGGTAGGTTGTTTTCTTTCATCTTCCTATAGGTAACCTGGCACACACTAAAAGCAAAACTACAATCAGTTACCAAATGTGGACACCCCAGAAATCAATCAGTCATGCAAAGGTAAGAAAACTGATTTCATGATTCTGCATTGAACCCTAATTTAAACTAGAAAGGCAATACTGTCATTGGTACTAAAAGTAAGCAAGTAACCCCCTCCTTGGTTTTTCTCCCTCTCCTATTTTCTTTTCTGTTTAGCTGGATATCTTTGTGTTGTGCAATTCATATTCCTTCCGTGAGGTAAAAACCTAACATTTCCCTTCTTTCTGGCTATAGTTTTATAACAACTTCAGGGGCAGAAAAATATTATTTCCTAGCTGTATTACAGCAAAAAGAGAAATTAAAATATTGTTGTGGAGTATAGTGAAGTTCCTTAGAGAACTACCAAAATAACAGTGATGATGAAGTAACAGACAGGACCTCAGACGTTGTTAGGTTATTTGTGGCAGTTATTTAGATGCTCCATTATCAAATTGTGCCCTCTGTGTGTGAACGTTTGTGTGTTGTGTAGCAAAATAATGTAACGTACTGGTGTAACTGATTTGTGCTAGTGATCATGCTGTAACATTTTCTGTTTAGAATGCTTTTTTTTTTAATTAATGATGTTCTCTGAGGGGTGCTTTGTTGTGACATTGGAAATTTTCTTTCTTCATCTTTATAGAATGAAGCAGGAGATACTGGACATCATCCAAGAGAGACAACCAGCATGAAAACACAGACAGTTGCTTCTTATTTTAGAGTAAGATATCAAATCTTCTAATACTTTTTTCTAGAGTAGAATGAATGTTTATTCTTTCACCTTTTGAAGTGTACCTGTTGACTTAGAGTCAACAGTGATCCATTTAGAGTTTGTGAACTGCATATATGGAGCAGTGGTTTGTGTAGTACAAATATCTAGCAGAGATTGTGATGTTTCATCTTTAATTGCACTTGATTACACAGCCACATTTCTGTCATGATGATGTATGATGATAAATATTAATCTTCCACTTACTTCTTTTCCCATCAAGGGAGATAAAGGGAGGTTGGACATTAGTGGTATAACATTTCTTTATGAGTTTAAAAAGGAAGAGGGCTAAGTTAATTTGGAGCAGGAGCTCCAGAGAAAGATCTTGATGGTCACTGCTTACAGGCTGTCCTGAGTCCATCCTTGTGGCTCCTTCAGCAGTGCTCTTGACCTTCCCAAGCACTGGATGTGCTGCTGGTCCTGCGATAGAAAACAGCTGTGAAGAGCATTCTTTCCTCCAAAGTGATGCACAGAGTTGGCTCACTTGGGCTCAGCTCTGAATTTCCAACTCTTATTTAGCAAAAAACATAAAGATGGCTGAGGTGACGTTCATGACCTATAAGAGTTCATTTACATCTATGACAGAGAAGAGTAAGGAGCGAGATCTCTGTTCAGTAGATAACAATTGCACAGCTTTGTGCACTGTGAAGGATAATTTCAACCTAGGTATCACAGTGCTCCAAAGCTGGATGGTGTTTTAAAGTTGTAGATGGAAATCACTGAATCTCATTTGGTGGCCTTCTATGACGGGGTTAAAGTGTTGGAAAGAGCAACTGATGTCATCTACCTGGACTTGTACAAAGCATTTGATACTGTCCCACATGACATCCTTGTCTCTAAATTGGAGAGACATGGATTTGATGGATGGACCACTTGGTGGATAAGGAATTGGCTTGATGGTTGCACTCAAAGAGTTGCGGTCAATGGCTCAATGTCCAAGTGGAGACCAGTGATGAATGGCATTCCTCAGGGGTTGGCGTTGAGACCAACACTGTTTAATATCTTTGTTGGAGACATGGGCAGTGGGATCGAGTGCACCCTCAGCAAGTTTGCTGATGACACCAAGCTGCGTGGTGCAGTTGACATGCTGGAGGGAAGGGATGCCATCCAGAGGGACCTTGACAGGCTTCAGAGGTGGACCCATGCAAACTGCATGAACTTCAACAAGGCCAAGTGCAAGGTCTTGCATATGGAGCAGGGCAATCCCAAGCACGACTATAGGCTGGGTAAGGAATAGATTGAGAGCAGCCCTGAGGAGAAGGACTTGGGGGTGTTGGTTAATGAAAAGTTCAACATGAGGCGGCAGTGTGTGCTTGCAGCCCAGAAAGCCAACCATGTCCTGGGCTGCATCAAAAGAGGTGTGACCAGCAGGACAAGGGAGGTGATCCTGCCCCTCTACTTCACTCTTGTGAGACCCCACCTTCCAGCTCTGGGGTTTCCAGTACAAGAAGGACATGGAGTTGTTGGAGCGAGTCCAGAGGAGGGCCACAAAGATGATCAGAGGGCTGGAGCACCTCTCCTATGATGGCAGGCTAAGAGAGTTGGGGTTGTTCAGCCTGGAGAAGGGAAGGCTCCAGGGAGATCTAATTGTGGCTTTCCAGTACCTGAAAGGGCCTACAGGAAACCTGGAGAGGGACTGTTTCCAAGGGCATGTAGTGACAGGACAAGAGGTAATGGCCTTAAGCTGAAGGAGGGGAGATTTGGATTAGATATGAGGAATAAGTTTTTACAATGAGGGTGGTGAGGCACTGGAACAGGTTGCCCAGAGAGGCTGTGGATGTCCCATCCCTGGAAGTATTCAAGACCAGGTTGGATGGGGCTTTGGGCAACCTGGTCGAGTGGAGGGTGTCCCTGCCCAAGGCAGGAGGGGTGGAACTAGATGATCTCTAAGGTCCCTTCCAACTAAAACCATTTTGTGATTCTATGAAATTTGATGTCTGTGATTCAGTGCCTTACCAGCACATCTAGCATCAGAGGCTGCAAATGAGTTAATAATATTTATACTAGCATCAGAGGCTGCAAATGAGTTAATAATATTTATACTTTTCTGTTATTATTTTCTGTAGTGGAAATCCCTGCTCAGGTCATGCTACCTAATGATCTTAAATGATGATTCACCTTCAGCCCCACAGGTTTACTCATATGCAGAAATCTATGGATGAATGAGAAAAGCATCTGCCACCTCAGACTGAGTAGAGAAAAAAAATTATCCATTAGTGTGTCATTCAATTGGCACACTAGTGATGAAGCTAATTAAGCACTTTGCTGCATAGTGCAGTGTCTGTCCAGAATGGTATTGCACATTTTAATAGGAAACATATGGCTCTTGATGTCCTACACTAGTTTCATATATCCAACCTACTGCTGAACTGTATTACCTCCTGGCTGCCTCCTTCTGTTGAGTCAGGTTGAATCTTGAGGAATGAGCCTCTTCATTTGTGTTTTAATAAGATCCTCCCATGAAGCAATTTTACAAAACACCAGTCAAGGTTGTTTACATCCGAATTCACTTCAGTTGGCATGGGGAGCTACAAACTGCATCCCCTCTGCTAGCCTGGTACCCTGGTGAGGTGGGAAAAGTGCAATTTTGGAATTGCGATTTTGTGTACTTCTGGTTTTGCCCTCCTCAAAAGTTTCCTCTTGGCAGGGCAGCTATAGTATCATTATCAACCTATACAATGATCAGGACGTGCCAGATCAGAGCAGTTTAAGCAGTCCCTCTTCTGGGGTGGCCTTAGTTCCCTCCAGTCTAATGAAGGGATGGCAATATTTACTGGCTTGCTGCTCTTCCACTTCCCATCTGTAGATGGATGGTTTACTCTCTGAGTGAATAACAATCCTCAAATAGGTGACAACAGGAAAAAGACAAAATGGGATGTAATTACCTAACAAGACTCCAAGAGAAGCAAATAAGTCTAAGGAGAATTTCTATCATATGTTAGACATTATGGCAATTTGTGAGAATGTTCTGAGTGGAATTTGGTACATCCATTTGAAATCAATGTTTCTCTCAAGTAGTATACATGTAAATGGGTTTGGACATGAAATAAAATTTCAGCTACACATGGACCTATATACAAGCTTTATAAATATCTTGTTATTTTCTTGCAGTATTCTCTGATGGATTTGTTATCCAAAATGGTTGTCGGCCAGCCTCATTTTGTCAGGTGCATCAAGCCAAACAACGACCGTCAGGCAAACAAGTTTGATAAAGAAAAAGTGTTGGTTCAGCTGCGTTACACGGGAATTCTGGAGACAGCAAGAATTCGAAGACAGGGTTATTCACACCGTATACTGTTCGCTAACTTCATAAAACGGTAACATTGATCTGAAGAAGCCTTTTTCTCTACTATCCTTGCTGCCCAGTGTTTGTTAAGCATCAGCAGTGTCTTTGGTACAGTCTTTAAAGAAAAAATACAAAGACATTTCCTGTGACAAAGAAGATTACAGACTAGATGACAAAGAGTAGTTCAGGCATAAGATTAGTGACCCATTTTGGATTGGTAGCGGAAGATGATGCATCTCAGGATGATTGTTTCAGGCTCCCTGCTCATTTGGGTAAAAATTGTCTTGCTTATAATCTGCACATTTTCTTCATAGACTTGAGGTTTAGAAATGTAATACTTCAAATTAAAGGCAAGAATTTGGAGCAATAACACCCAAGCAGCACCACAGTTTCTCTACCTCCTGACGTTTAGCTCTGTGCAGCATCTGCTTGTACAGCGTGGATGATAATTTGGTATTGCTAATCTAGGGCTGAGAAGTTCATTAAGTGCATAATTTTGTTTAAAATATAATTTCTAAGTATTAATCATGTGTTAAGAGAGTAATGAACTCACTATGCTTTTACAATTCCTTTAACTGTCTCTTCTTCCTCCGCCCCAAAAAATTAATCATCTTGAGCGCTTAATCTGTACTTCTCTCTTACAAATAAAGACCCTGAGTATTTGCCTCAATCAGAACTGAGATTTATGGAATGGAGATCAAAGCTGGCAAGAAGCAAGCAACACCCATTCAGACAGAAGCACTTAAAATAGTGCACTAGAAACAGAGAGCTAGCGGCAGAGTGCTGCAGGAGCACGAGGGAGAGGAAAGACAGAGTGATGTTTTTATAGCACTGCTTCTGGAAAGAATAATCCTGGGACTATTAGTTTTGGAAGAGTGCAGCATGGGAAAAGGTAGTTATCACTGCATCAAGATGTGCTGTGGGTTTTGGTCTCTGCTTTTCATAAAAAAAAATCTACTGTTCAGGTAAAAGAGGAAAGCAGTGAACACGATGGGGTGGCTCTCCAAAGAGCGTGCCCCTGATTGCAGTGAGGCTGTGCAGATCTCTGGCACTGAGGATATGGCCCTCAAACAAAAAGGGATTTTTATTAAGTATCTATCGCCTTGTCTTTTTTTTAATAATAAGTGCGAGTTACAGAGAGAGCTGGGATAATGGCAAAATTATTTTGTTAGAATAAAAATAAGCCAATTCATGATGCAGTAAAAAGAAAAAGAAAAAAAAGGAGCTGTAGGAATTGGTGGTAATGCAGGAATCAACATTGTCTTTTTTTATTATTCCATGAGGTAATTGTTACCATTATTTAAAGCTGGTACAACCCAAGCTTTGTGTATAAAGGCTGAATAACAAGAAAAAAGCAGAATGTACTGTCAGGAAGCAAACATAATTCATGTAATTTTCCTGAATTAAAAACCCAGGATAGGTATGGTTCATTTTGTTATGGAGCATTTTGGAAAGTCCTGGAACACACAAGAACTTTCCTACTCAGCAGCTGAGCTGGTATGTTACCGGTAATTTTTATGCATGAGCATCCTGACCTCTTTTCCTAATCAGAATTAATTCTGAGTAATGAGTTTGCCAGATTAAATGCTTACATATGATATGCCATAACAGCACGTATATGTTCCAAAAGGATCTGTGAAGCTGAATCCAAGGAGGTAACAAGAGCTGGGATGCATCTCACATCACGTTAACTATCTCAAAGGTAGAGGGTCTAGCACGTGAAAATAGGAAATTTTCATGACATTTCTAGATATGAAATAAGCTAATTTAGGCATAAAAACTTCAAAAATATTTTTATTTTGCCACTGAAATCATTTTCACAGCATGCAGAGAGCCAGAGCAGCAAAGAACTGGTGCACAAGTCTGCTTGGGTCGCACACTTTTTAAAAGCCTTCTGGTGTTGATACAGAATTAAACAACCCTCCAGGGTGTGCAATATGTCACTCATCCACTTTTGATTGAGTTTCTCAGTACTGCATATAAATCGCAGCAATTTCTTTCATACACGGTTCTGTTTTTTTCAGTGCTATGTTTTCTTTCATGTAACTGTTTTTATTATTTAAATGGATTTGCATCTATTGCTCACTATTAATGGAATAAAGAATCACATATTTGTCTTTAGGTATTACCTCATCTGTTACAAAACAAATGATGATCCTCCTGTCAGCCCGGAAACCTGTGCTGCCATCTTGGAAAAAGCCCGCCTTGACAACTGGGTTCTTGGAAAAACCAAAGTAACTTTTTAGTATACTGTATCTGCATTATTGCAGTATGTCATTATTAACTTCTTAAGCAATTTGTTTTCTCACCCATTTGGTAGGGGTAGCTCTCAGTCTCTTTGGTACCCTTTGCTGGGTACTGTTCCCTGATACCTGGCTAAAATCCTGACCCCATAAAGTCTTAAAATTCTGATCAGCTTTAGTGAGGCCGCAGTGCAAAGCAGTATGTGACAATGACACTGCTTGCATTTTCTTTCAGAAAATGTGGTAATAAGGATCCCAGTGAGATTAGTCCAAGTTTTTTAAGGAAAAGAAGTTGCACTTCTTCCCTGGAGCAATCAGACTCACAAAGGGAGAGGAAAAGGTTTTGGCTTTCCAGCCAGGGGCCTCTGTGGCAGACTTTGCTGAGCACTGCGGGAAGAGATACCAGGATGATCCCATGTATGTGAAATGGAGGGAAGACTTTGTTATTAGAGAAACACATGTCTGTTCCCATACTCTAGCTTTTGGTTCTAGCTCACTAGTCTTCCCAGTGTGCCAGAGGGACACCCACCCCCAGCTGACAGATCTCCAGAGGTCTGCCAGAGAGAAGACGCGTCAGACAAGTACTGCACGAAGTCTCTCTGCTTGCTAATGTAACAGAAATGCCCAGGAAGGATACAGATAGGGAGAGAAATGGATCATAAACTATTTGAAATCACCTCAGTGTAAAAGAAACAACTGTTCTTCTGAGACATCTTCCTGGATAGGTGGGACAGAAGCCATGAAATTACCTCCTCCTCAACCTTTATTTTCCTCTGCTGTCTTAGTGAGGCTAGTGGACATGTAGCCAAAGGAAGCATACCTTGAGGTGTGAGAGCTATAGCTTATGTTTACTTTAATTAGGGTTAACGTGTATCTGTACCAATGAGTGACCAAAGATGGAGAGAATTCTGCAAAATAAGCATAATTGTTGTCTTAATTGCACAAGCTCTTTCTAATATACACCAGGAATATGTTTGTATCCCTTGTGCTGGACTAGTTTTTCTGAGGTTATATGAGCTTCATGCTCAATAAAAGAAAATTAGTAAATAAACAATGCCTTAGATTTAAAATTGGAAAACAGAGAGGTTGAAGGTTCCAGATTTGGATCACATTTATGTAACACACATCAGATTTGTGAGGTTAGCAAAACTTCCAGCCTCATAGCTTTGAAAACAGATCTATAGTTACAGACTGAAGTTTTGCACTGGCACTTTAAAACATCTTCCCATGAAACCATGAATAAGCAGGGACTGACAAAAGATGTTGAAGGGGCAAGCAGGGTGAACTAATACCCCAATCAAAATGCTATCTTTAACAAGAATGATCCTTTAGATACTACAGCTAAAGAGTCTGTTCATCATTTGAAACCAACTTGTAACTCTTGTTGATGTTAAATGGATGAATAAAGCGCCAGGGAGGATAACTAAAACGTTTGCTTATCTGCCTACTCTTTTTAAGGTATTCCTCAAATACTATCACGTGGAGCAGCTAAATTTAATGCGGAAGGAGACAGTTGACATGATTATTTTGATTCAAGCTTATGTCAGAGGGTGGCTGGGTTCAAGGAGATACAAAAAGATAAAGGAACAAAGGGAACAAAGTGCTATTAAAATACAGTCAGGTAATAACTTTAAAACATTTAACATTTTGCTTAAAGCTAGTGCGTGTGTACAGTTGATAGATGGATGTGCGTGCTGGATGTAGATTTTGCTGTTTGCCTGCTGTTACATTTGACAAAATATCTTATACTTGATGACATCTGCTCTTATGAAGAAAAATTTCTTTTAACCAGGTTATGACAATCTCTTTACTGAAGTTACGTTTATCAATGTTGCATTTAAAAGGCAATTTTAACAATGGAAGGACGTTATTGCACAGATGATACTGTTATTAATAATATTCTGTCATGCTCTGACAAGGTTCTATAATATAATAAGGAAAATAAAATATATTAACCGTCCTAGATAATAAGAGCAATTACACTGCTGATGGAGACATCAACTGAAATTTTTAATACGTTTCAAACATCATCTTATTTTACGTTCTGATTCTCTTGTGGTTTGTATTCATTTCATTCATAATAACTTTACTCGCCAGAAAATGTAGTTTTTATGTAGATTTACTGCTTGTGCTTGTTTGCCATTTTTTTAAAAGATAAAGGCTGCAAAATATTTTAATGGAGGTCTGTAATTCCTTCCAGACTTTTTTAATTCTTACAGCCTTTTGTATACCTAATGGATTATTTAATTTTTGACATCTCTTTTCAGCTTACAGGGGTTTTGTTGCTCGTAAAGAATACACAAATGCAAAACGTAATAAAAAAGTGGAAGAATATATAACTAGACTTCAAGCAAGTAAGAATTGTTTGCTTTCGTGGCTTTTAATGTGCTATCTGTACACAATATGTTGATCCACATTCTCTGCTGTTTCCTAGCTACACTGATTGACTATGCTCATTTATTCATTCTGAGGTATAATTAATCTATTATGTATCTATATACAGTGGCTGAAATGGGTCAATGTATTCTGTTACCTGTACCTCAGAGTGGCTTAGAGGCACTTTCCACAGCTGTGAAGTGGGCTGGTTAAATGCCATAGCAAGTCTAAAAAGACCAGACTTAGCTTATATTGGCATGTCCATTGACAGTGGAAGTTAATGTCTTTCAAAATAACTCCTGTTGAGTTGCTTTTGTGTGAAAATGGAATGAGGATTGGCTCATAATGCCAAGAAACTCTAGAAGTATTCCAAGTGCTTTACAATTTGCACTTTTCTTAGGCCCTTCAGTATAAAACCTAATTGTGCCACTTCCAATAAGTATTTGGGTTCCTTTACCCTATATCCAATTATCAAGATGTAGTTTATGTCCCTTTTATACAGCGTTTCTTAGACTGAACCACTGCATCTAGTGGAGCCCAAATTGGTCTAAATTATGAGTAGGGAATGCTAAAGCAAATAAAACCTACCACCAAGTTAATGACTGTGTTAGAATAGACTGCTTATGCTCCCTTCCCATTCTCAAGCGGGCTTGACCTTTCCCTGGGATGCAGAACACTCTCAGCAGAGTTGGAGTAAGAGCTCCCATATCTACCATCTCCTCAGCGTATTCAAATCACCTGAATCCTCTATAGTCTTGGTACTGCATTTGGAATTAGAGTTCAACAGAAATATTTTGACCAAACGCTATGTTCTTTTTATTTTGCCAGGGATTAGCAGATTTGTGCTGAATCCCTGGAATTGCAGACTTGTCCAAGTAACAGCACTGTGGAGACTGTGCCAGTTCCCATTAGGGAATTATTTGCAAGTTCAGGAATTTTTGAAGCACCATTCCGAATGCAATTCAGTTTCTGATTCAGACACTTCAGCGTAGGTGTCTAAAAGTGACCTAGTTGTCTAAACTCCTCTTATAGTCAGCAGAGCCTAGAATTTGATTAATTTTATTCAAAACCACTAAACGCTCAGCTCATTGGCCCCCATATTGGTATCTAGTGTCATCTGAGATGCCCTAGGGTATCTTGCCTGGCCTCCAGCTTTATTTCATATGATATACCCAACTTTCTGTCTCCAGAAGGTCTCGTTCTTTCTGCCAGCTCCATGTAGATGCCTTGGCTATCCTGGAGCACATCAGATGGCACTAGATCCCTATGTGCCGGCAACTGCATCAAGTCCCTAGTGACTAGTCAGCACCTACATGGCTCAGGGAAGACTGATACTGGAGTCCTTATTCATCCTAGTTCAGACCAGGAACTTGCACTTGTGCCTCCAACAAACCACAAGTCGTGAGTTCCTTTGCCACAGTGCACCTGGTTACTGTGGAGCTTAACACATCTTTCATGCTCAGCTTTTTCATTTTGACTAACAAGTCTTTGCAAAAGGAGCATGAGCTAAGTCTTCTGTAACTGCTGAGCTATAAAATTTTCAGTTTCTCTCTGATCTAGTGAATGTTCAGCTAATTCCAAGCCTGTGCCAGAAGTGAGCCTGGTAATCTCTATAGCCTGATAATCAGGTGTTTTCCAGGGAAATGAAAGACTGAGTCAAATCAATTGCCTGAATCAGGCGAAGCAGGTACATGAAGCTGAGAGCACTGTGTTCTAGAGGCACTTCTATAGCACTATGCTTCTGCTTCATTCTGCATCTTCCTGTATTTTCTTTAGTCCAATAAAATACAAAGAGCGAGCTTGTTTGTATCCTTGTGCAGAATGGGTACAGCTTTCTGAAATCTCAAAGAAGTTTCATGGGACAGAATAATTTCAGATAAAATGTTATCATAATAATCACCCCAGTCCATATTTCCTTACTGTTTTTTTGTTTAATGCTATTATCATTTGACACTCTGAAATGTGTGGGACACCCATTGCTTGTTGCCTAAGGTTGTTTTATGTTACAATTTGTATCAGTTGCCAGAGGATACTTACTCAGGAAGAAGAGAAAAGAACTAACTGAGGCAAGAAACAAAGCAGCAGTAACAATTCAGTCTCACTACAGGGGATATAAGGAGAGGAAGATCTTCAAAAGGAGGAGGTAGTGTTATTTGCTGTCTCTTATGTCACGCAAATGTGTCCCTTTTCAGTAACTACACAACTGAAGAACAGCAATGATGTAAGCTAAAAGTGTAGCAAATTAGGATTATTCTACATATGTATGCAGAGGTAATGTATATTTATGTGGAGGTTTTTAATGTCAGTAGCCAAATTCCTCATATTTTTAAGCCCAGGGAATAAAGGCATTATTCTGGGGAAAGATCAACAATATTGTGCTTACCTGTAATGTTAATGTAATCTGTAGATGAGTCTCTTTTTGGAACTAGCTCATCATAAAAAATGCTCAGACGAGAGCAAGAAATAGGCATCTGCAAGGAACTGTTCTTCTCATCTTAAGTCACTGAGATAAGCATAGGTGATGACAGCAGTCTTGCTCAGATCAAACAGCTAAAATTCAGGTGAGGTGAATCACATTCTAAATATCTCTGCAATGTGGTTGCAGTCCCAATCTCTGAAATGGAGTGAGTAGCACTTTGCTATGTTTTTGTTGACATTTAAATTGATTCTTTACTGTTTTATCAGCCCTCATGCAGCCTAGATTGTCCCCCTAGCGATTTTCCATAAAGAGTTTAACAGGGATGTCCCTTTTCACTTTAAAAAATAATAATCATCAGAATGACAGGAATTGGTTTGCTGTCTTTAATTCCAGCTATATGCACTAAATCTTTCCCATGTTGCAATGTATCAAATTGCCATTTAGTACGCAAACACCACCAAAGGTAGTTGTAAAGCTGTCGCTATCCTTCATCTCCTTTAGCTATAATTTTTGCCCAAAACTCTATTCCATTCAGGGAATCACTTAGAAAGAAACAAACTGAAAATGCAGCAGCTGTTAACGAAAAGGAAAAGGATGAAGAACTTCAAGATAATGAGGAAAGTCCAGCTGGAGTGAAGAGTGCCCTTCCTAAAACAGAAGAAGAAGAAGCAGCTGTCATTGTTCAGAGCCATTACAGAGGCTACAGAGTCCGTAAAAAAATAAAGGAACAGCACCAAAAAATAGCAGAGGAAGAATTATCTGCTGTGGAATTCCTTGAAGCACAACTGCAGCCAGCTCAGAATGATACACTGGAAGAAGCAGCAGACGAGGAGACTCAAGATGAAGCTGATGCTGTTACTGACAGCGAGTGCTCTGGGTACAGTGACACAGGGAACATACGGGAGCAACAGAAAATGCCTACCAAAGGAGAGGGAGCTTCTGTGAAGCAGAATCCTGCAGTAGAACGTGTTGGTGAAGGTGAAGAACAGGCCTCTTTGGAAGAGCTGTCCAGAAAATCTTCTGTCAAAATCACAGCTGAACCTGGTGCCCAGCAAGAACAAGGTCATCATGACACGCTCAGTGCAGGTGGGCAAGAATCTGCTGTGGTCCAGCCCAGGACTGACAGGGATGTGGAAAGAAACCACCTGAAACATGAAGCAGTGATGCCTATGGGATGTAAAGGAATTACAAGAAAAGAGTCACTAAGAGGCTCAGGGAAGCAAGTTGAGGCAGAAAAACAAGATTCAGAAGACAAAGAGAAGGCAGCAGTGGTTATTCAGAGCAGTTACCGGGGTTACAGAAGGAGGGGACAACTTAGAAAAGAAGGGAAACTACCTTGCAAAAGTCAAGAGAAAACTATAAAGGAGCCAACAGAAGCAGTGCATGTTCAAAATAATGACCCCCAAACAACAAAAGATAGGGACAGCACCCATACAGAGGCTGAAGACTCTAAGACACTGAAGGGAGACTCAGAGAAAGAGGCTTGCGATTTGGCAGCCTTTTCACGACAGGTAAGAAGCTCTAAAGCTACACGTGTTGGGCGTAATACTCTGAGCAATGACAGAATAGTAAAGTTATTTTACTGGCTTCAATGGCACCAAGGTTTTACTCTCTAAACTGAGACTCAGATTTTGTAATGAGTGTTCTAGTAAAACGTGTATTTTGGGCTGCAAGAGAAAATGCCCTTTTCAGAAAGGAGGGAAAGACAAAGAGCACTGGCAAAAAGTTATGTTAGTTTTAACCTGGTTTAGGTTAAATGTAGAAGCTTTGCCTTTGTTGAAATGTGCATTTACCAGGCAAGGCCCTTAATTCAGCAAACTTGTGAAATGTCTGTGTAAATGAAACTAAAAGTTGCTGTGGCGATGTCAGGGGCTCACACATCTGCACAGAAGTATGCCTACAGCTGTAGAAGTTTTTGCATCAGCAAGGCACTGTCTGCTCACTTGTATGAACCAGTATGAAGTAGCTGCAGGACTGGGCTGCAGTCTGGAGTTTCCTACGTGTCCTTTTTTTTTTCTTCTTTTTTTCTCTTTTTTTTTTTTTTTTTTAAGGGGGATGGGGAGGTAAGTGTGGTAGGGCCTACACTGCAGTAAGTGGAGAAATACCTTTTAAATTCATTCTCTAGTCCACTATTTTACCTTTAATTACCTTGGAACATATACTTATTTATACAATAATGTAAAATCCTATGTTATACTTTTCAGATATCAAAATTATCCGAAGACTACTTAGCATTGCAGCAGAAATTGAATGAAATGATATTGTCACATCAGCTGAGACCCGTGATGCTGTCCAAAGACAAGCAAGCTAATGGCCGACTTTCTTCTCATGTTTGTCAGTCAGGTAATGTTGAACCTTAATGTTAGCAGAATTTTTATTTGTAAACAGCAATTCCTAGTCATGTTTTTAAAGGTCAGGGAACTACTAGATGAGTTAGCTCTGGCTTCTGATAACTTGGGCTGTTCATTTTCATACTAAACCCCATATCAGAATATGTCTGGAACGTAGTTTCCAGAGAAATATCCAAGGCTGGTTGGGATTTACCTATTTACCATTTTTATTGGTATTTTGTTTCAGTGCTGCCTAAGGTTGGTAAATGAATCATTGTGAGACCTAGACATAGCATCTCTAGAAATACTTTTATGGTAAAAATTCCACATTGTCTCTTTTTTACTCATGTGTTGCTCAACTGTGCGTGCTATTGGTGAGATAGGGGACTATGTTTTAAAAAAAAACAATTTTTTTTTAGGTACTATGTCAAACAATTTACCAAAGTTTGTCACCTTTATGCTGAGTAAAGTTTTAGCTATCCACAAATGCAACCGAGGCTATCAAAACTTGTAACTCTTACCCACGTTTGTGAGTATCTCCTTAAAATTACAAGTTTTATTAATAAAAGTGGCATCCATTTAACTCACTGAAGAAGACATTACCCCTGAAAATATACTCCAAAGTTATTTATATTCCAGTTAATGTGGGCAGTGGGGGTTCCCAAAATGCAAGCATGCTTGGAGCAGCTTGGGTGGCACTGAGAGAATAAAGGTGGAAGACTTGGGATTCAGAGCATGTAGATCATCAAGACCTGCGCCCCAGGGAGAGGTCCACAAAGAGCTGACTGAGCTGCTCAAACCTCTTCAATTGGAACAGACATAACAGAGGATTTCCTCAGGCTGTGACTTGGGCCACAGATGTGGAGGAAGATGAGGGCAAACATGGCAGGAGACTGGGTGGCTGTCCACTTCTGCAGGGCAGCTTGTGCTAGCCCGTGCCACTGCACTGCCTTTGGGGAAGATCTCTGCTCACCCCTGCTCAGCTGGGATCAGATCCAGGAGTGTCTCTCACTGTCCAGAGCTAATTGTACAATTTTCACTATAACATTGTGGATTCAGTTGTCATGTGTGCTGAAACTTCTTTCTGTTCCCATGGCTACACTGAAGAGATCCTAAAGGTACTTCACCCCCACTTTGCAGTCCTCTCAAATGAGCAAGCTGCTAAAATGAGGTCTTGGTGTTTACAAAACCTAAACTTCTAAGTGCAAACTGGCTGCTAGTAGATAATCTATGAGGTTCAACCTGTTTCCAATACCAAAAACTGCAAGAGAAGACAGATGTGAAATGGAAAACTAAGTACCATTATCATAGAACCATAGAATCATAGAATGGTT